ATATTTTATATCAAAAACTATTAATACTTAAACTGGACATGTGATCGAAATTGCTTAAATTGTGAAACCATGAAATAATATTGAGTATATATATTAAACAATGGAAATTCTTGGATGTTCAATAACGATGTTCATATAAAAAAATTCTCCTTCCTCTCTACCGTCCATGATTGGTATGGACATTTTGTGAAATCATGAAATAATATTGATTGTTCATTAAATAATGAAATTTCTTGGATGTTCAATAACGATGTTCAGTTGCAGATGAGTAGTGGCTTGTACCGTGTGCGTAATATTCTTATACAATTATTCTTATTAAATTTCCGTAGTCGTACGTTTGAGCTACTTTCTTGCATAACGAAGACGCTTGCCGGGAATACGAACTTGGGCCCATACTTTCAAAAAAAGTTAAGAGATCATAAGTTCGTCATCCAATCATTGACGGCCTTTCAAGCAAAATCCACCAATCATAGACAAGAAAATAGAGCGTAAGTACTTACGTTCACTTAGCGAGTTTTGAAAGTATGGCCCTGATTATAGATGAAGTATTTCTCATCGTTGCCATAAATGTATGAAGTAAAACGGCTTTTATAAACCAATGAGAATTCAGATGATCAGCTAAGAAAGAGTCAGTTTCTTGCTTATGCTGTATCCAAGCTGAATGAATCACTGCTTTATCTTATTCTTAAGTAGTAGTAGTTCATGGAATTTAATTTTAGAAATTTGTTAACAAAAATTTCGTCCTATTTGCCGGCACAACTTATTTTTTGGATGTTGATTTTTCAGAGGAATGGTTTTTGCTAAATCTTAACCTATTTTTTTGATAAGCAACTTTTTTGCTAAATCGTACGAGTTCGCATACAGTTTCTCAGGTTTCAATTCCTCTTTATTCAGTCATCAGTGTTTCCTTCAGAGCGTCGCTATTTTCCCTCAGTAAACTGAATATCATTCATTACCTCATAAGCTGAAAGTAGCTCAAACGATATGTTCTAATGCCGGGTAATATATGTCTTTATAACCGTGCATGTTAATCTCTATATACAGGGTGAACCAAAATTAACTGACCCTTTTAATTTGTTAATAAATAAAAAACTAAGAACGTTATGAAGTTGAAACTTGTTTTATTTAAAAGAAGAAAATTTTTATGATAATATTGTATCCTAGTTTTTAGGATACAATAACTAACTAGGATACAATGTTACATACAATATTTTAACTAATACATATTATTAATACATAATAAATATTTTAACTAATACAATAATAAAATATTGTAATAGGATACAATATTTTAACTAGGATACAACATTACCATAAAAATGTTCTTCTTTTAAATAAAACAAGTTTCAACTTCATAACGTTCTTGGTTTTTTATTTATTAACAAATTAAAAGGGTCAGTTAATTCTGGTTCACCCTGTTATACTTGGCAGCTCATCACCCTGGACTGCACGCAATGCTTCCATAAATCAAATTTTGCTGTGTCCCGTTGTGTGTGATGATCATAAAATACAAGTGATTGATTTAAATAAACTTATAAAACTCTGATCACGATATTGCAATACGTGTGGGCTGCAGGGTTGATTGTGCCAAGTCATTTCTGAGACTCGCGTTTGATTTTTTTCTGCTGTAAAAGACAAGTATCACATTGCCTATCATTTTTATCTGCGACTGTTGGCGCAAATATAAACCTGAAGACATGAGTAATCAAAAATAACAGTATCTTTTGAACGAAATTTTGATTTATTCCAGGCACAAAGATTGCTCCAAATGCCCTTGTGTGGTAAAATAATATTTAAAAGTAAAAAATTAAATTTGTACAGTCCGAAAATATGAATTATCTAATTTGCAGAATTTGCGATACTCTTGCGTTGTTCTAAGATTAGTCCAATTAGCCTTATTTATATTAACGCCAATATTCCCGGCCAAGAAATGGGAACATTGCTTGTCTTAGTTGCAGCAGAAACATTTCAACACTCGGTCCTATAACATAAACTTGTAATACAACAGCTTTGTCTCTCCCTCTCTTATCTCCTGCACTCTTTCTCATCTCGCTTGTACGTCTGCACACACACATTGCGCTGCCGCATATTGCCGCCTACAGTTACCGTCAAAGGTCAGTGTTGTGGTTTGATGTTCATTTTTAAATGCTTGCATGTTTTACAACCGCCAATTGTGGGCTAACGCGTTCGCTCCAATTGCCTATTTGTCTGAATTCCCTAACAGACGGTGACAAATTAATTTTTTTTGCTAAGATAAGCTTTACTAATTTCAGACTTGTAATGATTTTTCATTTTCCCTATCCTATATACTACCGGTATAATATATAAAGTGACTCTAAAATCTTGTGAGGTAAAATTTTTAAATTAGGTATTAAATAATTTAAATGGAATATATACGTATATACCTTAACGTTTTGGCGTGATATACCTCGTGGTATACGGAGTCAACGTTATCATGTTAATGAATTATATTGAGCGCTACATGTTCATTATAACTTTTTAGCGTGCGTACTTCAACCGTGCCGTAGTGTGTCCACGGTCTATCCAATATCACAGCTTCAGCTTGAATTTATTGCCCCCGACTAAATAGATTGCTCATTAAGAACATAAGGTTCATTGGAGTTAAAGATCAGAGAACTATAGAAAGCCTGTGCAAGTAAAGGTCACGGTTAAGTCGCTTTAGTGCTATCAATGCAAGTAGCATTAAATGTCTGAGGACTTTTTACTAAGTTATTTTAGGACTGATTATAAAGGTAATTTGAATGGTAGGAGTGAAATTATTGCAAATAGTCAGTTTCAATAGCCATCGCGGTATGATGAAAATTGTTGTCTAATTTTCTTACGGCAGTTTGAGCCACCGTGTTTTTTCTTCCCTTTAACCGTTTAATCGGACTCTAACTTTACAAACCTGTTCGTAATGTGATTAGTTTCCAATACTGGCGCATCTCCGTGCCAGGGGCTTGCTTCGATCTTTTGCTTTTAGCTGCAACTTATTACCGACCGATCTTTCACTTTGTCTGCTATGTTTCTAACACGAGGACAAAATTGCTACGTTGAACAAAGTGTCACTTACGCCAGAATTACGTTGCTTTCAAGTTTCTTTAACGTTTTTCTGCACATTTTCTCTCATTATTTAAGGGGATCGACCTAGCATTTTGAAAACTTCTACAGTTATTATCCGATTGTCATGAAACTTCACATACATACGTAAAATGTTAATTACTTTATATCCAATTAGTTAAAGAACTCTCTCACCCGCTTCCCTTTAAAGAGACGTCATGAACGTAAATATTCACGTAGAGAGATGGCAGTGGTACCATTGGAAAGAGCAGAATTCCAGCTTTCAGATGAGCCCAAAAACCGAAAAACGTCAAAATTGAAAATTTTAGCTAGGTCGATCCCCTTAATATCAAATGCTAAACATAAATAATGTAAGCGTGCAATGCTGTGATAATTGCAGAACTTTAAGAAACTAAGTTTATCCTCAATTGAGGGCGAGGGCTGTTCACTTTTATTTACATTTATTTTGTATGCAAATTACAATTTTCTGGCGTGATTTTTTTTAGTCTTCCTACCTTCCTACATTTATTTCGCTTCTTCAGTGATTAGAATTAAAGTTGATCAGATATACATGCTTTGATCAGATGTATAATTGGTTGCTTACTTTTGTTTTTACTTTTACACTTTTTTGTGGTACTGTGCACAATGAATTTTGTTGTATGTTAAGGCCATCATGCTATATTTTCGTTCTATAATCATGAAAAGTCTTTCTGTAAAATTACTTTGCTTTCATTCGAGCTTGAAATTAACATAATGATGACCGTAGTTTTATTGTTTACCCGATTTGTTTCGTTGTCTTCTATATCGATATTGAAAATAATTCTATTTAGGAGCATATTTGTTAAACAAAAATTGAGATTGACAGGAATTTATTTTACCTTGTACACTGTTAAAAAAATTACCGTTAACGGTATAACCGGCGTTTCAGTGGCCGGTCGGCACGTGAAAAGAAACACCGTGTCGCCGTTTTTATTCTAATTTAACACTAGAAATCCGTAAAACATCTGATAAAAACGGCGGAACAGTTTATTTTCACGAGGCGACCGGCCACTAGAACGCCAGTGGGACCGTTTTTTCAACGTTTTTTCTAACAGTGTAAACAGACGAGCTACGAGAACACGAATCGTGTGATTGGCATTCCGAAGCCACCGAATTTTTCTTTCATTTCTGGCTTCTGTAAAAAAATCAGAATTGTTCGAGATTGCTTTCAGTTCTGTTCTAGGATTTCACATGCCGCCTGGAAATAAAAAAAAAAGATTAAAATTTTGATCCTACGAAAAGAGAAATTAGGTACCAATTAATTCTCTAATTGTTTGTTTATAAAATTCCCGTCTGTATAGTCAACAAATTCTCAGCACAAAATTGCCGTATAAAATTTCATCTGCAATGTAAAAGTTGAAAATTTTTTAATATAGTTTTCGGGTTTGCTTTTTTTTGTCATATAAATACATCGTATTAATTCATGAATTAAATTGAAGAAATTGATATTGCGGCAACATTTGCTGAATCTATTTTTGGAATGTTCCTCAAATCACGATCGTATAACTCTTCTTTTCTCTCTGCTTATAATTGAGACTGAACACCGGCCTTCAGTCACCGGGCTATAGTTCGTTATGCATATCTACTCTGAATTATCAGCTTAGTATAATAATACTGTAAATAAATAAACTTGCCTGTTTATCAGGTGCATTGCTAAAAGTTACGATAACCGTACAATTCACGGCCATGATATGCTCTGTCTGTAATTTTGTCCCGCATTTTTGCATGTCGCGGCCGCGGTTTTTATGATCATTCCCAAGCTCGTCCCTTAGTTCATTTTGTTATCCCTGCTTAGAATTTAGATCCCGGTTGATAAAGTAATTACTAGTTTGATGACCATGGCCTGGAATAGTTTATTATATGCTAGAGTTGAAAATGACGGACATTGCCGTCCCTCCCAGCAGGATCTACCGTTACAGACGATGAAATCAAGCTCGCCGAAGACAAGTTTGCGGAGTCTCTTCATCTCGCACAGATGGGCATGCATAACCTACTCGACAACGACGTGAGTGAACCACATGCATTTTTTATGATATTTATGTATTTACAATAGAATATTGGATAATTATCTATTTATTATATACGTGTACATGTATCTAACTCATGGTAAAATAATGATATAATATGACGGAATAGCAACTGTAAATATAGCGAGTGCTATCTTAGACTTTGCAATCATGTGGAAAGAGAATAGGTATTGGTATAAATACTTGATGCTAGTGCACTAAGTGTATTGGTTTTTCCTCTTTAGTGGATAGAAAATCTTAGTGATAAGTATAATGTAATTCCTGTAATGGTGACAATCGTCTTTTAAGTAAAAAAGATGATTGTCTTTACCGATTAATAAGCGGTAAAGACCGCTTATGCTGGCCGTTATTTTCACACTATGAAATTTAAGACTTTGTCCCTACTGTTTAAAGATAATGAGGAAAGAATTGAGGGTTTTATTTCTCAAAAAATTGAAAGGCATGTTGAAATTTGGTTACAATTCATGTAGTGTACTTACCTATGTCATTTATGATAATACTGAATGCATATGTTATTCAGGTTGAAGCGATCGCGCAGCTGGCCATGTTTGCCGAGAACCTCGTGGACTACCACAGACAGTGCACCGAGATCTTCGAGGGGCTCGTCAACACCCTCAATGACAAGTAAACTTTGCAATGTTCTTTTATCTGTAAAACTATCTATAACGTGCACCTTTATATAGTAAGCCGTGCAATGTTCTCTCATTTGCGCCATTTTCTGTAACGCCGATCTTTAAGCACCCTCAACAATCTTTAACGATTAACGATCTTTAAGCACCCCAACTTTCTCAGCCCCGAGATTCGCGGTTAAGCCGTGTCACAAGGACGTGTGCCTAATTTTTCCTGAGCCAGGTTTTTACACCTTTACCCTGCCCCTCCGTCTACCTTTACCCTGCCCTTCCACCTCTCTACCCGTCTGTCGTGTCGAACTCTTCATTCCCTCAGCCCACCCCTGTCTCTCCCTTGTCAGCTGTAGTGCCGGATTCGGAATTTTCGACGGAACTATAGCTCAACTCAATTCAGTTTTAAACTTGTGGTTTTTCTTCGTACATTATACGATGGCTAGACAGAGAAGAAAAAATGTCCTTTAGTTCTGCTAGATAAAAAAAGAAAAGCCTTCTATTTCCGCTAGACAAAAAGCCAAAATCAAATCAGCTCGGTTAGAGATGAAACTTTGCAAGTACTGCAAAGAGATGTCCGTGAGCAAAGTTGATCAGACGGTCACCTGTGAACGTTGCGAGGATTTCATTTGTATCAGCTGAAATAAGTTGAGCTCTAAGGAGTACTCATTTCTCCAGAAAACTGAATTACTTCATTGGTTTATCGTGCTTGCGAAAAGCCAACTCTTGGTGCTCTACAAAGCGTTAAGCCGTTGGAAGAGCACGGCAATGAGTCGAAATCGTTGGATGACGTAGTAAACTCCTCGAGTGATCTGGTACGCTCGTTGAGTGAAAAATTGAGCTCGCTATGCAATGAGCTGACTGAAGTGACAGCTCAGCTGAAAAAAAATACAGAAAAAATGGAAGTAAAGAACCAGAGAGATGATTTATCTGAAGTCGCTAGCGAAAGCTCCCGCGCATTACTTGACAGAGAACGAAGGAAGTCTAACCTTGTGTGGTTTGATATTCCCGAAAGTACAGCATCTGATATGAATACCTTAAGTGATGGCTGAACTGCATTTATTGCAGACTGTTGTAGCAAGGCACTTATCACACCGGTTGTTATTACATTGTGCAAGACTCTAAGCTCGAAAGATGCTGCTACCAACTCCTGCAGACCTCTGTTGCTGACTGTAAAGGAACCTGCTCAGGTTTGGAGCGTGTTGAAGGCAGCGAGAAGCTAGGAGAATCCGCTGAGTACAAGTCCGATTTTGTGGAGAATTCTACCCCTTTAGAGAGAACGGATTTTCGCAAAAATGTCAGGAGAGAATCGGACAGAAAAGCACGGAAAATCAGGTCAACCACTCTCTCGATCTCGGACAACACCGGCCGCACACGATCAGTCAGCGGAGCTGGAAGACAAGAAATAAGTCATGTCCACAGATCCAGGCCTGTAAATAATGTAAAAAGTAACCTCATACATCAAAGTGAAAGTGCACAAAAAAAGTTAAAATGATTTTACAACAAGTAAAAGTGAACTATTAACTGTAATCGCAAACGAATGTGTTAATATTACTTGTATTACAGAAACACTCCTTAAAAATCACAGGAGGAAATTGTACCTGTTGGATTTCAGTTGCAAGGTTTTCCTTTTTTTCGTAACTTAAATGAAGAGCAAGGGTCATACTTTCAAAACTCGCTAAGTGAACGTAAGTATTTACGCTCTATTTTCGTGTCTATGATTGGTGGATTTTGCTTTAAAGGCCGTCAATGATTGGCTGATGAACTTACGATCTCGTAACTTTTTTTGAAAGTATAGGCCCTGTGCAGTAGAGGTGTAGCTCTATGGGTTAGAACCTTTCATGGTGCCCAGTAAGTTCAGTTCTCTGCAGAGCCCCAATCAACTATAGAATCAGTGTGGTGCGAACTTTCTCTAAAAGGCAAGGACAGCCTTCTTAATGGCGTCATGTATAGATTACCAAATAGTTCCTATGATAATGATGAAGTACTAAACAGCCATTTACCGAGCATGACTTTCAGTGTGCCAAAAGGAAGCGTTCTTGGGCCTGTTTTGTTCGTTGCTTTTATAAACGATCTGCCAGAGGTAATGTCAAGCGTGTGCTCCATGTATGCTGATGACTCATAAGTTTATTATACAGTGAAGGATGCTTCAATTAAAGTGCAATTGCTAGATTAGCTTGATAGTTGGGTTAACTGGGCTGATACGTGGCAGCTGCGCTTTAATGCTGACAAGTTTAACGTACTTCACCTCGGAAGAACAATGAACAGCAAGATTACAGCATGAGAAAACATGGTTGCAACGAGAGAGTAATGATTGAAAAGTCCAGCGTGGAAAAAGATTTGGGATTTTTGATTTTATGTCGACCAAAAGCTGAAATTTTCTAGGCATATTGGAAAGCAAGCTAATAAATCCAACAAACTTCTTGGACTGATCAGACCTTTCTGCGAGTTCCTAGATGCAGAAGCGATGAAGCTGTTGTTTGTTGCTGTCGTGCTCCCGAACTTAGTGTTTGGAAACGCTTTGGACAAAAAAAAACGAACCTAGTGTTTAAAAACGCCGTGGAAACTTGAAAGGGCAAAAATTTAGTAGAGAATGTTCAAAGACGAGCAACAAGGATAATTCCAGGCTTGAAGGGTAAGTCTTACGAAGAAAGATTAAAGATTATGAAGCTTCCAAGCCCCTGCGTTATCGACGTCTGCGTGGTGACCTCATTGATGTATACAGGTATACTCATGGTTTATTCAAGCTCCCAGAAGGATTACTAGAATTTGAAACAAGAACCAACACCAGGGGTCACGGCTATAAACTAAAAAAACTGCGTTGCAACTTCTCCATGCACAACATTTCTTCTCGCTTCGAATCACCGACATGTGGAACAGCCTCCCCGATGACATCGTTTGATATATGTTCAGACTTGAAGCCTAGCACCATATCGAACCCTGTAGAAGTGTAGTAGCAATTTCAAACTATCATCAGTTTTGAAAAGATCCGGTAAAAGGACCTTTTTTAGATCTCCTATGTGTCAAGTCACAAAAAGTACAAGAATTAGCGACAGGTCACACCAGGCTTATTCTTCAGCAATGACATCACTTTGATATGACGTGATATGATCAGTAACTGTTTCAATGTTCTCTTATCTGTTCCTCTTTTTTTATTTTAATCATATTTTTAGTTCAACCTTCAGCAACCAGTGCTAGATTGCTATCGTTAAAAGATGATGATAGAATATTGTGCTACAAACGCACATTATGAAAGACTTATATATATATGACGATTTCAATTAAGGATTTTCTCCTAACTTTTCGCGAATCGTGAGAAAGAACCTCAACGAGGCACAGCTTAGAAAATGTGGGTTTAACTATGTGAATTTTTGCTCTGATACAGCAAAAAGCTCTTATAATAGCCATTAGTTATAATTCATGTTTTTTTACGTGTTTGATACTTTCTTAACTGTATTCGAAATGAAAATGAATCTGTTATTGCAGGAAGAACGATGCGGTCAACAGGCCAAAGAAGGAGTTCGTACCGAAGACGTTGTCTGACCTCGGCGTGCTGGACTCGCCCCACGACGGCATGCTCTCCACCTCTAACGCCAACACCATCTCTGGTAGGACTTCTTAATCAAACCTCTTGTCTATGTGATTTTTACTCAAGGCCATATCTGCTCTGAAAGTCCAACACCGAGGCACGATAATTCTACTGAATTTATACTTTCGTCCCACATTCAACCAGGTTTTAAGACGATAGACTCTAATTTAAATAGTTCGTGCTTCCTACAAAGTAAACTTAAGACCCTATATAAGTAACTGACTCCGAGATTAGAGTGTATCTTGAGTAGAAACGTAACCATATTCCTTACAAAAGTAATCATCAAATATTTAAACGAGAAATATCTGTAGTTGAGCGCCCCGCTTGCTTCGAGATAAGGCGGCAGAATCTAACTAACTGTATTAAATTTAATATGGAAGTCCCATTTTTTAAAAAAGTTTGTTATTTTTCATCCACGTAATTGTGCCAACACGAATGAATATGAATTGCTTCCCCATATACTAATTCGATTAATTTACACTCTAAACTCCGTTATTAGGAGAAGGCAGGACAATTATATGTTACAGGATAAACTTGCATCAGATTGGTTCGTATTTGCGAGCAGAAATAACATATTTGTGTTTAAGTTTATACACGATGATAAGTCAACCTTGCCTTATAAGTCAACTTTACCCTTTTTATACCCTACATTGAAATTAAAAATGAAACTGCTTCGACAGCTAAAAGATGACATACGTCGATTTTTTCGGAATTACCTGCCTGTAAGAGATTCCTGTCCTGAATCACTATTATTATGCCAACAAAATTCACCGTCACAAACTACAAGAAGTGATAATAACATTAACTGCTCGTAACGTAAGCTAGATGTTATGCTCGGTGTAAGCTCAGACTAGGTACGGCCGTATTCTCATATTCAGTTATTTGTTAAATTGTTAGTATTATGTGGCCAATTGTAGCTTAATATGGCATCATGACCTGGTTATCAACGGATCTTCTTGGTCTTTCTTATTTTTCTTGTTCACTTGTGCAGCGTTCTTTATCTTGCTATAGTTTCTTTCTGAGATGATGCTACGTTCTCTGAGTTTCTCGGTGTAGGTCTGCTATGAATTGAGTACTTCTTTGCAGCTCTCAACTACGTTTTTCTTGCGTGTATGGACCATGTTGTTTTTGTATCTACATTACATCTAGTTTTGTTCTCTTCTATTATTTCATTATTGGTTTTCTCAAATCTATCGTTGTTTTGGAGTTTCTTTTGCATCCGTGAATTCATTTATAATTGACTCATCTTCCATATTAAAAGTGGTTGGTGCATCTCGTGTTGATCGCCGGTCGAGGCCCTTCATATTTGAATTATTTAGCGAAGGAACTGAAATGACTTTTAAATTAAGTTTCGTTAAATCGCAATTTAACAAAGAATTTAAAGAAAAATTTTTTAGAACTCAAATTATACTAAGACGTTTTTGGTTACTTTTGTAGTGTTCGAACGTCCTGTTTTGTTTTCAAATATTTATTGTAGATATACTGGTTAACACTCTCAACCCGAATACAGGCTGCGATCTTGTGATATTATTATGTAGTCTTGCGGCCACGACATGACACTAGTAGTTCCATTTACTTTTAATCATTTAATTTAATCATTTAATACACGTTTTTCTGTATGATTTCGGGGACGGTCTGTAGAGATCCAGATTTTTTTATTTTCGTCTGGCGTCGTCCATCTCAATCCGAGCATTCACATTTTATTCCATATGATGAATTGTACTGAAGCGGTAAATGTCTATCGGACCATCCGATTCTTTTAGGTTCTAGATTTGAAATTCAATGTCCATCGGTCAATCATTGTATTTTTTTGGTCTGTCGGGTAAAAAACGCGTCTGGTGTAATTTTTGTCATGAAAAATTATCTTCTCTTACTGCTCTTGAACCTGGAGCGTTTTTCGGAATTGTATCTCGGTCACCTTTTATCTCATCAATGATAATTCTTTGCTTGTTATTTTCTTCTTGAGTAATATTTGTCGCGTGTTCTTAGATTCTTTTTTCACGCAAAATATCAACCACTTATGGCTCAATATCAAGTGAGATCACAGACCAAATCCTTATAATTAACATACGCCATTAGAAATGGGCTCACATAAGCATGAAGAAAGCAATTGTGGTATAAATCTCATTGAATTTTCATAATTAAAATGAAAGCGACTTCAAAAACTCCGAAACCACCTTGGTTTTTTAACGACTATATTTTGATATTTTCCATTGGTTCTTTCATAACATCTTATCAAGATTGGTTTTTAAAATAATCAATTGACAAATAAATTTTACATGAAATTGAATTGGAAGCAATTTAGCTACCACTCTACTCAAATGGCTAAAATCATTTACCAAGCCTATGGAAATAATTATCCGTAGGATAATTTTTTCGACGGGTATCTTTAAATTTCCGATTACTTCAAATGGTTTAATTGTTTCCCTGAGAAATTTATCCCGTTATTTCGAGACATCGTCGTTCTTTTCGGAGAGTAAAATGGCAAGAACTCTCCGAATTACTACATCACATATCTTTCCAGCACCAAAATAACAAGAGACTCGTTCCTGTAGAATTTCATCCGGTCGCCCCATTTTATAATTGTTACTTTTTTCAAACGTTAACACCATACGAGTTCTCGTATTATTTCATCTAGTCGTCACCATCTTATGATTGTCACTTTTTTCAAACGTTAACACCATACGAGTTCTTGTATTATTTCATCCGGGTATCGTATAATTCTATCCGGGTATTCCATCCGGTCTCCACCATCTTATGATTATCACTCTTCTCAAACGATAACACCATACGAGTTCTCGTATAATTTCATCCGGGTATCGTATAATTCTATCCGGGTATTCCTTCCGGGTCGCGGGCCCATTACTGCAATAAAAACTTAATTTCACGACGGCTCAGGAGTCACCCCCCAGCGCTCGCCGTTCACATCTCCTGCTCGGTCCCCAGCCAACACTCCGTCTGCACAAACTCCTCAGCAAGGTGCGCCGGCATCCCTCCCCTCATCCCTTCCTGGCATCCCTCCCCTAATTCCTTCCTGTCATCCCTCCCCTCATTCCTTCCTGGTCTCCCTATCCTAATTCCATCCTGTCATCCCTCCCCTAATTCCTTCCTGGCCTCCCTACCCTCATCCCTTCCTGGCATCCCTCCTGTCATATCTTGCTGGCCTCTCTCCCCTCATCCCTTCCTGGCCTCACTCCTCTCATCCCGTCCTGGCCTTCCTCCACTCATCCCTTCCTGGCCTCCCTCCCCTCATCCATTGCTGGCCTCCCTCCCCTCATCCCTTGCTGGCCTCCCTCAATTCTCATGTCAACTGTGACCAGCTTCCATAACCGTAATTGTAACGTCTTCGACCCTGTATTTGACTTCCCTCAAATAACTTGAACAACTCCTATCGTATCTTCTCGTGCCATGTATTTGACTTCACAAATTAGGTTTTCACAACGCCTCGTCAAACTTCCAATATTTCCATCTCATGAGTTAGTTTTCCCATACCACCAACCTCACTCCTTACAACTTATCCCTGCCATTAATACCCCGACAAATAACCTGCATCATTCCTTAAACTTCACTCCAAAAATTAAAAATTTTCGCGTTGTCGAAGATGTATTTAAAGCTTGCTTTGACTTGGGACTTTAGTGTTGTCCGTTGTTACCATGAAACGCTCCCTCTGCGATGTCACGGATTCCCTAACAAAATTTAGAGTCGCCCCAGCTTCTGGTAATCCAAATCAGAAGCTGCCGCGTCTGTAAATTTTCACTGGGTAACAAAATTTAGAGTCGCCCCAGCTTCTGGTAATCCAAATCAGAAACTGCCGCGTCTGTAAATTTTCGCTGGGTTAATACATAATACATTCATACAGCCTCCACGCTCTCATCAGTGGTACATATGTCTCACTTTAGTACGTTGTGCATCGCATGGCAAATGTCGTCGTTCTTCTTCGTGTGCCTCGTCATGATCGGCGTTCATTTTCCATTTTCATATTTGTGTCGGGGTGGAAACTGTCGCTACTCTTATCATTTTTTCATGAGCTCGGGCATAATTTTGTTGTAGCGTTCATAATTTATTTCATTCCACTTGACAAATATGCTTACCCGGTTAAGTTAAATCATAACATTTAGTTGACTAGATATTTCGATCCTTTCCCCTCTATTTTCAACGCGTGTAACCTCCGTAGACTTGTTTTTTTTCATTATATTTTACAAAAGATTCATTTTAATCTCTCAACTTTTTATTTCCCCGGTATTTGTTTGTGTGGCTGTTGATGTTATTTGTATGTGTGTTCTGTTATTTACTAATTGTGTTGCATGCAATTTTTCAAGACTCGTTCAGTTTCTGGTTCGAGAATGAATCTTTGCGTACCACACATTTTTCGGTTCACTACAGAGACGTATCTCATGACATTGATGCCTGTTGAAAAAGGCTGTTACTTTTGTCGAGACGTCACCTTATACGAGGTGATTATTTTGACTTTGAGTATCGAATAGAAAACCGATGCCATCGAACGTGGCCACACAAAATTATTGGCATTTGGTGACGGTTTCTCCGCAAGGCTTTCAAGGAACCACGTTACTTGGTTCATGGTACACTGTATGTCTTTGTGTGGTGCTGCACTAAAGGATGCAGAGGTAAAGAGGATTTGCCAGTAGAAGTGGCCACATCTCTCGATCATCGATTCTATTTCTAAGTCTATAATTTTACTTCTCGTCTCTTGTGAACTGAGTTCACTCAATCCGCGTCGCACGAATGTCAGCTTCGCAACCTCTCAGATATTCTTCAGAATTGATCGCAAGACTTCACCATAAAGAGCCTAGTTATTTTAATAAAATATCATCATGAAATAAGTCCCTGTAACTTCAGGGTCGTCCCCTCTGCCCTCTCCTTCTGGCCAGCCGAGCTGGGACCCTCAGATATTCTTCAGAATTGATCGCAGGACTTCAACATTAAAAGCATAGTTTTTCTAAATAAAATATCATGAAATAAGTCCCTGTAACTTCAGGGTCGTCCCCTCTGCCCTCTCCTTCTGGCCAGCCAGGCTGGGACCCTCAGATATTCTTCAGAATTGATCGCAGGACTTCACCATTAAGATCCTAGTTCTTCTAATAAAATTTTATCATGAAATAAGTCCCTGTAACTTCAGGGTCGTCCCCTCTGCCCTCTCCTTCTGGCCAGCCAAGCTGGGACCCTCTCTCTCTTCATGCAGGGCAACCTCGCTCGGCTAATGGTAACTCTTCGCACATAGTGGCAAACAAGAGCCTTTCCTTCAGCTTAGCTCTTTTTCTTCTATACATTAGATAAAGAAATCTTAATCATTGAGCTTTTCGATGACATTGACCTTAAACTTGTTGGTTCAATCCGTTAGATCAAGAAATCCTAATCATTGAGCCTTTTGATGACGTTGATCTTGGACCCATTGTTTCAATCAGTTAGATCAAGAAGTCTTAATTATCAAGCTTTTCCATAACGTTGATCTTGGACCTATTGGTTCAATCAATTTGATTAAAAAGTCGTAATCATCGACCTTCTCGAATTGTTTCAATCAATTACATCAAGAAGTCATAATCATCGAGCTTTTCGATAACGTTGATCTTGGACCTATTGTTTCAAACAATTAGATCAAGAAGTCTTAATCATTGAGCTTTTCCATAACGTTGATCTTGGACTTACTTGTTCAATCACAAGTAATAAATGATGAAGAAGCCTTACTAATTTTATCATGGAGCTTTTCGATGAGGCTTTGAATTTAACATCCGCATTCCTTCTTTCATTTGATCACTCTAGCTTCTTAACAATAAATGTTGCGAACAAATGTTTTAATTGGTAGAGCTTTCAGGAAGTCGTTTGAATATTTCGTGTTTGCGTTTATGTCTTCTTCCATTTGATCAGTTATGCTCCCCGGTGTCTGAAATGCAGCAACTGACAAGTCTAAATAGCTGTCAAAACGCATACAAAACCATACATATGTTATGGTATTAAAGTATTCTAGTACCTCATACGGAATCTTATCCTGATATGTCATGCCTCATAATTATTTATTTGAATCGGCATTTTCAAGATCTAATCTCTTAGTGGGATCCCATGTGGTTGATCAATGACGATAAACTGATTTACTTATTCGTATTTTTCTAGTCTTCTGATCGAATTAAAGCCATTACAGTTTGCCATAGCTCCATTTTCCTTCCTTATAATCGGTCTAGTTGGCGACTCGTGTTCGTGTGCGTAAAATACTAAAGTTGGTGTAATTCGGCAGAAGCCTTTCTTTTATGCAAGTTAGATTGAGAACCATTGCTTGCTTTTTATTAACAATCTTCTTAGTTTTTCAGAGTCGACAATTTTTTTTGTTGGAGCCAGGAGATCAAGAAGCATGTTATTAAATGACATTTTAATGGAATGCGACGTTTCGAATATACAATATTCATTATCAAACAGGTCAAAGTTTTGCAACACTTGGAATTGAACTTTTGGAAATGACGGGAGTTCAAATCAAGGATATTGTGGATACAATTAGTAAGCTTAATTAAGCTTAAAATTAGTAAGCTAAGCTTAAAATTACACTGAAAATAATTTCAGCGTCCGGACGAATCCTGTAGTTTGGAGGTTGATAGCTGGAGACTCGCTCTTAGACTCTCATTATTATCAGCAATAGCTGAGGCCCTCATTATCAAGAGCGAGTCTCCAGCCATCAACCTCCTAACTACAGGATTCTACCGGACGCCGAAATTATTTCCAGTGTAATTTTAATCTTGGGTTTCAAACTGTGTTCACAATACTCACGATTTGTACTACTGTCATTCCAAAATTTTAATTCCAAGTGTTGCAAAACCCTTCACCTGCTTGATAATGAATATTGTATATTCGAAACGTAGCATTCCATTAAAATTTCAATTGGTAACCTGCTTTTTGATCTCCCGGCACCAGCAAAAAATTTTTTCGAATCGTTAAAAAACAAATAAGAATATTGTTCATAAAAAGCTTGCTCTGGTCTTGAATCAAACTTGTACAAGACTAAGAACATATTTCCTCCGACACCGCTTGTGCTTGTGACGAGAACGTCACAATTTCTTATATTCTTCTACCATTCACTTCTCTACACCTTTTTGTTCTCTGCACCTTTTTTGTTTCGTCTCAAGTTATTGACATTTTTCTCGCAATTAAAACTCCTGTTTTTTTAATTTTAGCTCTCAATGCCAAAACTCCTCGTTAACGCAACACATTTGAATCTCAGAAGTGCCATTAATCATACCAGAGCTTGTCGCCAAACCAACCGCAGTCTTGCATTTCATCAGGATATTTAGCCCATCCTGTTTTCAATGCCCGTTCGCACGGGTGGTGTTCCTCATGTATTATGTCAGGAACCTGTGGAAATTTAAAAATAAATTTTGTGAATGATGAGACTAATGATGATTAGTCTCATCAATAAAAATTTATCACACTTCACACTTCAAGTTTATGGCTCTAGTGTCGATAGGAAAGAAATTTTGACGTAGCAGTTGCAAAATGTTATCGTATGCCTCTTCGTCCTCTTAAATTTTCGCGTCATCTTAGGCGTGAAAAAATTTTGTGCCACGTATTGATATTTGCACTTGAAATTTATTTGCACCATCGTACCCATTTGAATAAATTACATGCAGACTATCACATACGCACTACTTTTTCTTGTAATATTTTGTTCATATTTGATGCGGGCTGCCCTCAGCACATTCAACGTTTCTATTTGGGTTTTTATTTGATAAAACTATATTTTTTCTCTTTTCTGAACAGTATTTTTCTCACAAACTGGATATACACGCCTTTAACGTTTCTATTATCGAGTGCTGTCGCTGATTTGTTCCAATGAATTAACCTAATTTTGAATTAACTAAAACGATGTGATCGCACTTGAATCGAGAAGTTTTTTATGTTGATCCCACGAGTGTTCTTTGTAGCTATTAACGCTTCATATTGCATGTGTATTTTTGATTCACGTGTGGCATGTGTCTTCAACTTTAATATTATTTAAGTTAGTCTTGTAATTATCCTAATAAATGCTGTGAAAACTATTTTTGCCTCACAATATATTTTTATGACATATATTTCAATATTACGGCAAAATTATGAGTGAGAAGTTCATTATGGCTTTCAACGAGCAATGTTCAAATCGGCGCGATAACTTGAAAAGATTTTCTCTTACATTTTCTTGTCTTAAGCACTCTTTTACGTGTCTCAAAGTTCAACTAAGTGTATTGGTTCTTCAGTGTTCGTGAATATCATCTTCTTCATCTTCGAGCATTTTGCCCCTTGCTTTTTGTGATTTTTATTAATAAAACGTTAATTATACTGTACAATTTACATGCAGTCATCCAAAAAATCTCGCATTTTCTTGAAATAATTTCTACTGAGTGCAATTTCTTTTGCAATCAGGTAATAAATGCTTTAATTTGTACATTAATAAATGCACACTATTCGTTTGAAGCACTACTACTCACAATAACTTTCTATTGCAGAGAACTGCGTGTTTTGCAATATATAATAGATGAATGCGATTTTTCATTAACTAATTCACTATTTGCAGCGTCACCATTGCCGTCTCCCATGAAGAGTCCTGCTAAGTCGCCCATGCTGAACCAGCCTTGTTGTACGGCTCTCTATGACTTCGAACCCGAAAACCCCGGCGAGCTGGCTTTCAACGTGAGTCTTAATTCTACTATTATATTTTACTCAGTCTACCCTGAAATTTCTACTAATATCGCTTAGCGAATTAATTTTATTTGTTTTACGTTTTTGGTTGGGTTTACGTTTACGTTCTTACGTATAACGTTATTTACGTAATTTACGTTTGGTTTACGTTTATTTACGTTTGGTTTACGTTAGTTTGGACTTAGCGAACCGGAGAACCTAGCGCTCGGCTTCTTATAAAATATAGACTTTTTCTATTCTATCTTGCACTACTGTGTAGTAATGAAGTATTTCTTATAGTGTAATACATTATATCATCAATTTCTCGCTTTTTAACTGGCATTTTCTGTTGACAGGAAGGTGATACTATCAACCTTAACCAACGCATCGACGATAACTGGTTTGAAGGAACGATAAACGGAAAAACTGGCCTCTTCCCCGTAAGCTACGTGCAAGTTGTCAACCCTCTGCCGTAAACATCCTCACGAGCCTTCGTCTTGGCTCGATTGCTGGACGATACGAATGTCTACAGTGCCACTGCCTCATATTTTCATTTCATTTCGTTCATATTTACATTTAATTGTGTTTACACATTTATTCTTCAGTTCACCAAGAAGATGCGGCATAAATTACAACTCCAGCCGCATTCTCTCTCGGCTGGCTAGCTCCGCATGACACGTTGACGCTGATCGTCTCATTTGTGATGCGTAGTGTCTGTGTCTGTCATGTTTGTCAATGTGCAGCTAAAACTTGTCGAGCTTGCATGCCATCAACTAAGAGTAAAACTCGTCAAGCTTGCATGCCATCAACTAGAAGTAAAACTCGTCAAGCTTGCATGCCATCATTTCGTTCGATCCGTAGAGCAGACATTAACAGCGCGCTGCTTCTTGGACTACGAATTTACCGTCGGATTTCGCTCTGAAATAATTGTATTCTAAATATCTTCATTACGTCCCCAAGTTTCGTTCGTTCTGTCTATTTTTGAAGTGAAGGAGAAGAAATGGTGAAAGGTGGTGGACTTCTGTGATGTGTATTTTGGTTACCTTTCTTGTACGGTAGACTGAAAATTTGCGATGTTCTTCGAATTATCATTGGCAGTATAAGAACTTGAAGTAGCTATTCTGTTTAGAGAAATGAGAATTTACTGTAGGTTAGATACAAATAGCATTCAAGTGGAGAAACAATATTGCTTAAATTTCTATTTCCATCCCAACTGGCTTAAAAATGTTATTGATTACCCAACCTGGTTTCGATTGTTGATCTTGTATAATGTTGGTGATTATGGAACGTTACTTGACTCATGAATCCTATTCCCTTATAAATTAATTGTACGAGGTCAATCACGCATTATATCTTCCCCCATTAAGTTGCTCAGTCCCCAACAGACTGTGGAATTTATACAGGACCTGAACCCAAGACCTTCTTCTTTGCAATAAATTCCGTAGCCATTGTTAAACTGTGCACCGATTGTTTAAGTCCGATGCATGCCATTTCTTAGTGATTGCGTTGCTGATTGTGTTGCCACTATTATCAATTTATCGTGATACGTATTTCTAAGTTATTAATTAAGTAATAAGATGCGCAAAAGCGTGCACATGATTCCCTCTTGTATAGTTCTACAAATGTAGAAATGTTATGCGTTGACCTGCGTTAATAGTTTCGTTGATAGCTGCCGAGATAATAGTGTGTGGAATGCGGCTTGCTTCTTGCAGTAGTAAATTTTTTTCAGCGTGACCATAGATTTCAGCATGAGTGTGTTCGTCGTGTGGTAATAAATATTCCAAGCTTGATCCGCCTCTACGCAATGTCATATGGACTTCCAGTCGAGAATATTGCAAGCATTTAAATCAATTTCAATTGCTCTACATTGAGCACGATTGATACATTGATTACATGACATCGATTGCTTTTGAAAATTATTTTCGGTAAAAGTAAATGTTTAGTTTTCTATTCGGATGCACAGGGAGCCATCTCTTCGCTATTAATATTGATAGCATTTATTGGTAAAAAAATGAAATTCTTTCACAGGTTTCCAAAGATTCCAAATCGCCCCCTTCAACTATCATGGCATGACCTTACAATTCTGATTCGATTTTATGAATCTTGTAAGTTCAAAATTATTCCATTACCTGTGATCTATTGACTAGGTGTGCACTTCCACATTTTTGAATTCCTAAAAGAATTGTCAGCCTATTTTATGATCTTGGTGATTTTGGTTGGGTCACTATTAGGATTTCTATGAGAAAGCATGTGGCGTCAAGTCCCTTCTCGATTATCATTCGTTGTACGTTGGTGACAGTGCGAAGATGAGGTTGAGGTGTCCACTCCTCCACTAATTTATTGTATTTATAGAATTAGTACATCCACCAAATGAAAATTATAGGTGTAACATCGATGGTTACAGAAGCCAATTGGTCATCGGTTCCGCCATTTGCATTAGTCGACATTCGTCAGTGACGCACAGATGTTCATTAGGCTCCATCGGTGCTACACTCATAGTTCTTATATGGGACGTAGCTTAAGAAGGATTTCTGGATTTGCTTGGCTTTGAAAATTTTCAATTAAAAAGTGAGTTTCAAATTCTGAATATTTTTCAAATTTCACCTGACTTAGAGATCTTTTCATATTTTTGTTAATCGTTAATTGCATTCTAGGAAAGTCGTAGCATAATTTTTCCAAAGAAATTCATTTAAAAATTGTAACAGTTCATCATGTTAACTTTTCCCCTTACAGTTCACTCCTTTTTTAAATTAAGTTCTGCCACAAAACTGTTATGCCAATTAACTCGAACGAGACCGTGGCTCTCTTTTTCTTCTTTAATATTTTTTCTGCCTAAACAAAGATTAGCTGATAAAGTTTTAGAATTGTTTAGTAGCAAATGATGATGCATAATGATGATAATATATGACGAACACCTAGTTTATCCGTCATATATACTGATGCTCAGAGTATCGGTAATTCTTAGCTCCGTGCAATCCCATCAACTCGGTCGCCCTATTTTACCCTCCCTAAATTATTCACGATTGGCCTTGTATTGGAAACGAATCGTTCTTGGTACAAATTGTGCATTGAATTTCCGTGATTTTGCTATCATGGAACAAATATAATTTTGTAATGACTAGGTTATATCGGCCATGGCCTCGCTATGCTTCAGCAATTACAAAGTTTTTTGGGAAGTACCGGCATTCTAACGCATTGCTCGCATGCTCTCACTCCTACTTGGGTGCAAAGTCTAAATTTATGAACTTTACAAAATTTGATATCAAACACTATTCTCTAATCTATTTTTTATTTCATTAATTGACACGTATGGTTTTTAAGTCGTTATTTGCGAATCGGTAGTTTCCGTTGTAATTCAGACGTCGTCGTAGTGAAGCTGTAAGAACAACCTATACACTATAGGTCATGATCGCTTATCATTCACAATTAATCACGTTAATATTTAAATTGTGAAACCTGTATGAATTTGCTTCCGCTGTGAATCTATATATTTTCGAGTTATGTATAAGTATGCGATATTCTGCTAATCACTCTCATACTGAAGGATTTTAAGGATGTAAAACGAGTCGTTACTTTGAAGGCGAGGAGTAGTGAGCAGTGCGTAAATATGCCCGTCCGTTTGCCCACTCTACCAGGACTTCCAGATCTTTATACGTTGTTGGTTGCGTGCTTGCGAGTATGTGTGTCGTTATTTCATCCCTGTTAAAATAACTATATTATCGATACTCAGAAGACCGTGTAACTGCATAAAGGAAAACGTCGTCCGCTCGCCCTGTTTATGGAGCGCGATTGATTGCAGCGTAAAGTGTAAATAAACTTTCTCACGGTCGGCTGTACATTTCCTGTAGGTGTAAGCTCTTGTTGTACGTTGTATCACCTACTCCCTCCTTCTCCGTTATCTGTATAAGATGTCACCTGTGCTGTTACATTTGGTGTTTTCTCCACGTCGACGCACTTCCAGTCCTCAATCTTATGTACGTACTTATTTTCTTTAATCTACTCATTTTATGTACTCTACTTATTTCCTTTACTCTACTCATTTTATGTACTCTACTACTTTACTCTACACATTTTATTTACTTTACTTATTTTCTTTACTCTACTTTCATTCTATACTCGTTTTCTTCACTCTACTCATTTTCTTTACTGTACTTTTATTCTATACTCTAATTATTTTCTTTACTCCACTCATCTTCTTTACTCTACTAATTTTATTCACTCATTTCCTTAACTCATCTTCCCTGGAACAGAAGACATGCATTGCATGTACAGCAGCCACGTTAACCCTATTGGCAGCTATTGTGAATATTTCTGGATCGTGTTTGTGTGTCTCGTACAAGTTTAAACGTCAGCATATGTCATGTTATCCATGCGTTAAAAATAACATGAAATTGTCGGGTTTGGCTGAAATTACGAGGTTTTATTTTCTTGGTAAGAATATGAATTATGATTTATAGAAGGCAGTGCCATAAGTTTGCCCGTGTATTTGATTGCAAGCGTTTATAAACAATTATTAATAGCTTATGTATCTTATATACCTTTTGTTTAAGCGTGTGAGATGATGGAACTTTGTGTTTATTGCCATGGCAATGAGAGTGACAGCTCCTTATTATCTGATTTTTGCTGTCAGAAAGTCTTGTATTTACGTTCTATTCATTCCCAATAGATGCCGATGGGTGAATCCTGTAGTGGGTTCTACAAATGGGTTGAGATTGTCGTACAGTTGCCGTGCTCTACTTTATGATGGGAGCTAATATATCAATGTGAGCCTTGATAAACGTGTTTGCTTAGCTGTTTTTACGATTTATTTGTGACATAATTTTTCAATAACTTTCATTCATTATATTTTTTCTGTAGTTCTAGTTATTTTTACGATTAATTTCGGACATTTTTAGAAAACTTTCATCGAAAAAATATATTCCATCTGTAGTTATGGCTACTGTCACCTAAAAATCTAATTATTCGTTTACAAAAATGATAATACACAAAATATTGGCAAACCACCATCAGGATGAAAATGCAGTTGGTTCCTTTGGAATTATTCCAGTCGAAATTTTAGCCGTTGTTTTACTTAAGAGAAGTTGACTCTCTGCGCCTCCTCGCACTACACGCCACAGACGTTCTACCTCGAGACCGTGGGATGATTATTATTGAATCATTATCTTGCATTCAGATCCTCAAGATTATACCAAATTATCGGTATTAGAAAGGGACTGATGTGTACTAAAAACTCGATGTATTATTTTTACTGGAAAATGCCAATTGATAACTTACTCTTAGAACACACTTCGCTCGATGGAGATACGTGCTAAGTGGCAATTTTCTGCACCGTAATGACACGTAGTCAACAATGAGTTAATATCATCGTTGTTAACACTATCGATAGTAGCTTTAATGTGAACAGCTGGAGCCAGCGACCACCGGTTACTTCCTCTGGACTCATTGACGTTGAAGACCTGCGTTTGAACTCTTATATCATGCTACTCATCTCTCTCATGACGATTTGACATTAATTTGTAAGATTAAACCCATTGATAGCGTTAGACAAACTTTAACTAGCCCAGTGTTAAATACTTAAAATGATAAGCGCGTGTGTGTGTGTGTGTGTGTTCGTGAGTGCGCCTCAATTGTTGACGTTATCGTATTCTCTTCTTCACCACTTTTTGTGGGTAAAGTGTCGTCGTTTAACGCTCTTCATATTTTAAATGAGAGTATAAAGTCTATCCATAGATTTGCATGTGGAGGTGGTGATTTTTTCAGGTTATATTCTTTGATTCCTGTAGCCCGCAATTTGTTGCTTCTGTAGACGATTATAAGTGAAAATATTGCATGGCGTTTAAATAAATGACTGCTGGCCCGCGACTAATATGATACTGTAACCCATCTGTTAAATTTAATGTTAGAGAATTGCTTTTAAATAACTCGTATTTTACGCGCCATACGACGGCATGCCTATCTGTACATGGTAAGTAGTGGGAAGCATTCATGATAATATTGAACGTTTTTCACCAACCTCGGCACTGCAGTTTTGCGAACTCATTCCGCGGTTGATGTTCAGATTTGCTAAATAATACGAGATCACAGCTCTCATATGATGATAAAGCTGAGAAGTGGGCATTTCATTTTAATATTATTTTAGTTGTTCTGGATGTTGCCACTACTTTCCCTTGACATCAGTCATTATGTCTCCAACGTGTCTATGTCTGTAATAAACGTTGAAATCCATTATCCCCACTTAATAGATAACCTGTTTTGATTGGTAGACCATAATTAAATTTCTGCTCTATCGTCATATAGGTTGCTTACAAATGAACCATGTTTTCAAAGTTGCCTCACTTTTCAACTATCAAAATTTTTTACACTCATCATTAACGTTCTCACGTTTCCTTCAAATTTTTAATTTGCTGATGTACCATAAATTATCCGACAGTTTCAATTCGTAATTTTCCATTGTTCTCAGGTATCATATTCTTATCCCCACTTAATTTTATTCCAATGTATGGGCCGGAAAATGAAATCGCAAGAAAAATATAAAAATTCATTTCACCCCGAACTGACTTTCGAAATTGTTTTGTCAATTAAATTAAGCCTAAAACAACGTCAGTATTGCAACAACATTAAAACTGAACACGTGTAGCAGACTGATGAAGAATAAATATCTTTTGATCCTATCAGTAAGAATGGACAATTCAGCTCCGAAAAAGTGACGCGTTATGTGTGTTATGCAGGCATGAAGGCACCATTTCTTACCGATGCTTTATACTTCAAAAAACAGCAGAAATAGTAAAATAGTCTTGATTCAAGTCACAAAAAATAATATAAACTTCGTCAGCAATGTACATGCAAGTCTCCTTATGATAGTTTACTCAGCAATTTTTGTTGCGGAAAGTACTAGCTTCCTACAGTTAGTACTATTTACCATGGCACAAAAATTGACTTCAAATTAAGTACAAGTTGTAAAAAGCCTTCGAAGAACTGATCTCTCGTTTTTTTCCATGCGGTGAATTAAATAATAATCTATCGACCACTGCGCAACTCTGCAAAAATTCATAGCATTGCTTTTTATATCAACTAAGTCACAAACTACAGTAATTTAGTTAGGCTTTTGACGAGTTGCTGTCGGTGTTCTCGAAGACTTTTTTCCTAGAAGCGACCATCCCCGAGAGAGGGGAGTTGGGTAGAGGGTAGCAGTGCAGGAGGTCATCCATCGCTGTTGTCGGGCACGACAACCTTGGAGGGTGGGCGCCGAGACGGGGACAGCTCGGCGAGCGGGTCAATTCTGAAATTAAATATTCGTTTGTGGATATTGATATTTAATTAATATCCACATATTATTATATTATTGTATTATTATTCATATTAATGATATTATTAAATATTAATTAAAACAATGCGTAAAAGAAGATTTTTGTCACAAGTTTATAATAATTTAATTTAATTGTTGCTTTAATCAAAATTTACGAAGTGATCACTAATGTCTAATTTACATAATTTTTGTATAGGTGTTGTGTGATCACCGCCTGAAACATTAGGTGTTCAATTCAGAATTTAATCCCACTTGATAAAATTCAGAGAACTATATTAGAATTATCACGCGAGTCGCGTAGTATTGTTTTTTTGACACGATTTTAACCTCAAAAATCTCAAATTTTCAAAATGATTTACTATGAAAATTTGATTCAAATTTTGAAAATTTTCATTTTCATTGAAAATTTTATTCATTGTTACATATATGCTCGTCACCTTTGCTGGAGTAGACTTTAGGTCGCCTCAGGGACGGCCGCGTTTGTCTCGGCTGCTTGAGTCCCTCAGTGTTGTCTGGAAAATATCAACAAAATAACAACGAAAATCAAAACAAGTTGGGAACATGTGATAAGAAATTTCAGATTTTTCTGTGAATTTCACATTAATGGCCATTCTATTCCATTTTTTTGCGCTTTGAAAATATGCATACTTGCACATTCGTACCTGGATTTAAACCCTTTTAGTTCATATCATAAAAATATTTCTTTTCTTATTGGGTCCTTTCACGAAACTAACGTGACGTAAAAAAGACAGTCTAAATTTTATTTCAATTTTTTGATTAAAATTGTAGTGACAAGTAATTTACGACCGAGATGTTTGGAAAAAAATGGCATGGTCATGAAAGAATAGGTTGGACATTTCAGAACAATACAGAGAAAGAAGGTAAATGGTAGGAAGCACGTCTGTTAGGGCAGCAAACCACAAAAGTTTCAAAGAAGAAAGTTGACAGTCGAGCAGAGAGACAAAAATTTACGTTAAATAGGACTTATTAAGGATACTGAAAGCGACAAACAATACCTCTGCTACTGCAGGGCAAGCGTTCTAGCTCAAGCAATGAACGTTACCGAAACAGGATCGCACTCAAGAAAACAATTACAAAATCCTCGAGCATATGCAAAGCATGCCATCAAACCCAACCATTTTGTATGAAGGAATTTAGTCCTATACTTCTCATTGCTCAGGATCACGGTAATAATTTTCGAGAAAGTAGCTCATGAATTCGAGTGTTAATGAGAAGTATATTGGATACATTACCTCGCAGCGCCGTCGAGGCAGTCAGCATCAAGTGTTCAAGTCTGTCAGTAACTGCAGATAGTTGATCAGTGGCCATGATCGGCCTGTCACTTCTCAAAAAATGACGTAGGTGACGACAAACTTCCAAAACTTCGCCCTCGTGCTGTTTGGTAAGCAACAACGTCAAAAGCAAAGCCAACGCAAACACGTAGCCTAACTATTATTAACGCATGCACTATAAGGAACAACACAAAGCACACCAGGTTGCAAAGCATAACTAATCGTTAAAAGGCGAGTGCATCGAGTGTGACACTACACAAGTCCACATATAAAACAAGGATTCTAATCAACATTTAAACGCGTTCAAAATTTTAAGCTATGACCCCATGCATTGTGACGGTGAAAGCTCGATCATTTACATTAGCTACGGTCGTCCTGTTCGACGAGACGAAAATTTTCAAGTCTCAAACCAACTCAAAAGTGGCGAAACCACTTTAGTTTAAATGGGCTTACCCGATTTTCGCATTGATATGTTGTTTACAATTCGCATGAAGACAACTAAAGAATTTATCGCACCACAAAAAAATGGAGCTTGACATGAAAAAAAAACTGTTGGTCTGCACTCACCGACTGGACTCTTTGAAGCTCTGCTTCCATTTTAGCAAGTTTGTCATCCTTAAGTGAGGCTTCAGCAACACGCAGTCTCAGTTCAGACTCAGTATCTCCCGGAGTGGTAGTTGCCTGAGCATAACCACAAAAACTTTACTCTATTTCTCTACATTTAAGTGGATAAGTCCAGCATAAATAAAAGTTTTGTCGGTGATATACTAGAATCAAACCTAGACTTCATCTTCCCAGTCATGAGCAATGGCTTACTACGGCTTCATTGTCGATATGAACTCCAGGCTATTTTCGCTTCACGTCGCTCAATAACAGAGTTTATCATACATACGAGTAGATGCCGTTATGTTATCTTGGGTAAAAAAATTATTGTAAAAAGAAATAAGCAACGGGAAAAAATTGATGCATCGATGCATCGAAATCATACGGGCATTATTAATGTTTTCCACCGGCATGAAATTCGTATCTTCTTGTAAATAATTGTTTGGTATTGAATCGAGTAATTAAAACGAAAAGTTCGAAGCCGTTTCAATCTTTGTTTGATGAACCTGCCTTGATTATTTATCCGCATTGATTTTATTTATTTAAAATATAGGGTAAAACATCGTCGTGCAATTGCCACCCTGTCGGTGTTAAAAGACGTAGAAGAAAAACACCTCACAAAAGTTGCGTCAATTGTGGATTAGTCAAAAATGGGTTAAATTCAATGTCTGGATGCGCTTTGTCGAATCGAAATATAAATAAAATTAATTTAAAAACATCTATACGAACATGCATTAACGCTCATCTACAATATTATCCAAACACAATCATCGAAATTACAAAAGTTGTTAATTAAATAAAGTTAACGTCAATATTTCCCTAGTCAGTTACGTCATCGATGGAGGTCGAATAATAGAGTTCTTGGTTGATCGCAAATTCTTAAAGTCACACTTGTATTAAGCACAGGTGCAAATTACCACGTAACGTGAATTTCAGTGCAAATTAACACGGAACACCGTACACAAAATTGCTGGTGTCATTAAGGCATCAAACTATGAACAAAATGCACTAACCTTGAGCGAAGAGATTTTCTCCGTTAGCTGAGCTTTGAGTTTCGTATTCCTAGATTCAAGATCGGCTATAGTTTTGCAGGCTTCATTCAGTTGCTTCACTAGATTATCTACTTTAGTTTCCAGGTCAGCTGATTCCAAACATTTCACCGAATACTTCTCCGAGAGCGAGAGAATTTCTCTCCTGATATCGCGCATTTCGGTCTCGTGGCGTTGCGACATTTCCCCGAAGTCTTGACCAGCTTGCATCTTCGATATGAACTCCTCCTGGGTTATTTATACGAATATAATTGTATTATTCAACCTAATTATCTACAATTATCCCTAGTCGATAAATAAAATCACTCAAAATTATGTTTAAAATTCCGATTTTAGCGCATTTTCTAATTTATAGAAAAAAATGCACTATTGTGCTCGTCATGTCCGTCTGTCTGTCCGTGACTTCATGTTTTCGTCGACGAGAAAATGCGCTCTCTGTAACTCACTACAGTGAGTACTGAGTTATATTTTTTTAATTATGACTAGAAAATTTTGGGATAAGCTATGCAACTAAAATTTATAAATAACCATAGTAATCAATACGCACCCTCATTTTAGCGACCTCGCGTTGAACCTCGGCCTCATGAGCCTTGCGCATGGCGTCGAGCGCAGCCAACGTGGCGTGCGTCTCTTCAGCCAACGCCTGTTCTTTTTCTGCCTGCAGGAGCGATAACTCCTGGCGATGTTTTTCTTTGATTTCAGCCACTATACGCTGCGTGGAAATCTCCATTGTTCCTAAGCCCTTCTCACACAGTCCCTGTATCAAGGTGAGAATAGATAAATGAGCCTAGACTAAATAGAGTAGTGTTGATTTGTCCCTATGCTAAGGAGAGAATATATAGGTGAGCCGTAGAATAAATAAAACTGTATTGAAAATTTTGACGCAAACGGTTTGAGGAGTTGTGAAAAAATTTCATATAATTGAATGGTTGAGAAATTGGTGAGAGCTTTCCGCTGAAAATGAACGACCATTTCAAAATTCTCGTAAAAGTATTAAAATGGGCAGAAGAAAAAACTTTTCCACCCAGAAAAAATATTGATACAATTTATTTTGTTATATCTAACACTGGAAATAAAACTTCACGGTAGTTTTAAAGTACTCACCCTCAATTCTATGATCTCTTTTTGATACCTTTTCCTGATGGTATCGTCACCGCTATCAGGATGGTTGTCAAGAGCCTGCTTATACTGGAGTTCAAGTGCTGCAATTTTCGCTTCATATGCTGCCTCCAGAACCATAATCCTGTTCTCCATTTCAGCCAAAGTTTGATCGCTATCGGTCGGAGTCAGTAGCTCAACTCGAGCACGTTGCGCTGCCTCCAAACGCTGAGGAAGAACAAAATTTAATATATATAGAATAAACAGTAACAGTTAACAGTGTCCAGTTCAAGGTTCATGATACAAATCAGGCTTAATCCAACTCAGTGTGAACATTTAAAATAACGCGAACATTTTTTGTCGTATCGTGGCAAGAAAGAAGCCATATGATGTAGGAAGTTATTTTAATACTAAAAATGCGTATCATTGCACATAGATACAATACACAAGTTTATCCTGTCTTCCAACGCTACACTTTAGTCATCCGTTATAACTCACTTCAATTGTATCCAACAGTTTCGGGCAATTGTCACACTTGCTCTCCTGGGTTTGATGTTTTTTCTTGAGTTTGGCAAGCTCGTGACGAAGTTCCTCACACATTTTACAGCCTGGAACTGTCATCCCTGTTATGTCTGAAGACCGACGAGATTTTTTTGTTTCGTGTTTGCGACGAGACTTTGGCGAAGGATTAATTTTGGACATTGAAATTGCAGTTCTTAAACGAGGTTGTTCAATGACATCCAGGTCCCGATCTGAAGCGACAGGAGACGCCTGCTGTAGCGATAAGGATGACGATCTGTAGCTCGACGATGACGCTAGCGCACGAACTTCTGAAACTTCAGGTTTCTTCAGTAAAATTTGGGACAAAACTTGCACGGCGTCTTCATTGCCTTGTTGGACTCCTTTGTTGTACAAGAAAGTAAACTCAGCATGTGAAAGTGCAGGTTTGACTAATGATTCAACCGAAGAATCTTTGCCACCTAAAAACATGAGAAGATGAGCTTCACTATCTAGAACATCAACAGCTGATTCAATTGGGTCTTTGTTATCTTCGGATATTTGCAATGAATTTTGAGCGGTGGGCAGAGAACCTTTATCAAATTCCTCTTGCAACAACGCCAAATGACCATCGATGAGAGCCTTTTGAGCCATAATGCCGGCAAATTCATTCAACACCTCTTCCATGCTGGCTGACACGGAATTGATGAGAGAAGTGTCACCAGCTCTCTGCTGGGCCAGAATTTCTTCGTATTTCTGCGACAAAGTCAACACTGACTCTTCCATTTCTTGCTTCAGAGACTCCTCAGCAGCGGCTTGTAACCGATCGATGGCTTCTGCCGAGCATAATGTTAAGGATAAAGACGAGGCTGTAGGAGCAGAACAGACCGTCTCATCGTTCAAGTTAAGCATATGTGTCATACGGAACAACGACTGAGAGGTCTGATGACTGATCAGTTCTTGCACGAGCAACCGATGCGCTCTGCCCCACGCTTCTCGCATTCTAACTTCTTCAAGCAAAATAGACTCGTCGAGAGGTGCACTACATCGCTGTTCTTGCGTCATGACTACAGCAATTTCATGGAGCTTCTCCTCTTTGTAATTTAAGATTAATTGTGCCAATTGGCGCTCACGCTCGAGCAAACGCAACTGTAAGTCACGGCACGTTGCACTGAGAACCGGGTTCTGTTCTTGTGAGTCTGGAGTATTGACACTAGACAACACTTCCCCTGTGACGACAAGCTTCTCCGCAAGCATACTCGTATAGAATTCTAGCGGTGCCATTGTGTCCAAGTCAAACTCAGGATTAGTTAATTTCTTTTCCAAGAAAGCAATCTTCCGGTGAGATTCCATGAGGTCTTGTAATTTGACTGATTCTGAATTACAATGAGATTGATTACATATTCTAAGGGCCTGCAAAACTTGACCCAATAGAACTGTCTCGTATGCAATTCTTTCAGCAAAGTTTTTGAGCTGTGCTTCCTTCGTCCATGAATTGCTGTTCTTTAGATTATTTCGACGTTCGTTCAAGGAGCTCAATTTCTGTTGAAGTAAAAGAACAACCTGCTGCACGACCGGTAAAAGTTTCTCCGATGCTTGCGATAGAGGCGCAGGAGCAGGAGGCAGTGGCATGTCCACGGCTACCGTTCGATAGGCCGCTGTCAGACGATGACGTAAGAAAGACAAGTCTGATCGCCCACAAGAGCATCGGTATGCGTCCAACAATTCCACACACTCGCCCAACTGAAAATGAATGTTCAGCGGTAATATAAAAGAAGAAGTAATATAAAATCATGGTCGAGGATTCTTTATAAGTTACGAATATAATCATCAGGGTGGTAATTGAAAACATTTACATATACAAGAAAGCAATACACATTATTTGAGCAGTTGCGTTGCCGCACGCAGAGCGTAAAATAAAAAAAAAATTTAATTTAAAGTGAGACAAATTAGTGAGACTTCATTTGAATTATACAAGTCAGTGAAAAATGATAAATGTATCGACTGAAATGAAAATGGTATGAATTTGAAATGCATGTTAATATAATGAACCGAAATAACCGAAGTTACTCTTGTCGAAAGTATCGGGCCTAATAAGTTAATCAGTAATTTCTACCATTCGAAATGCATTGCATGAGAAATTGAGGTAAGTGAAACAAACCCATTAACAAAAATACAAACATTTAACCATAAAACATTAAAACGGATAGAACACTCAAACAAATAACCATATTGAGAACCAAAGAAACCTACACCAGCAGCTTCTGAAGAATTACAACAATTACCTGCATAGAAAGGGAAGGCAAGACGTCACCAGGCGTTTCCATAGAAAGATTAGGTTCAACTTCGGCACCACCGCGCCGTGATCGGCTGTAGCGCTCTCCGCTGCTCCTTAGTTTACTGCGACCTCCTAGTGAAGGACAGCTAAAAAGAGAGTAACTATTAAGTAATTTGAAATATTTTCAGTGACAGCATGTTTAATTAGGCAAGTTTAAAATTACTGGCACTAATTAAGCTCAGCCTTTTGAAGGATAATAAATTTTGTAACTTGCTAAAAGTATTCATATATAGACGAAAAATATATCAGACTTGGCAGATAGGGTGAAACTATCTTTTTAGCGCATTTTCTCATTTATGGATAAAAAGCGCTTTTGTGCTCGCCATGTCGGTCCGTCTGTCCGTCCATGATTTCTTGTTTTCGTCGACGATAAAATGCGCTCTCTATCACACGCAGCAGTGAGTACTGAGATATATACATATTTTTTTCTCAAATGAGGCAAGATATATTCTTACTCTGCAGGTGATCCGGTACGTGAAGGAGATGAACTGCGAGCGGGAGTTAGGGCGGCGACTTTAGATTCGAGTTTTGTTATTCTTAGCGCAGCGGTAACACCGTCGCCTGCTGCCGCCGAGCTCTCCAGTGATTTGCGACGCAACCTCGACGCTTTGGTCGGGTCGTCGAAACTTTTAGAGCGCTTTGTTGTTCTGCCGCTCTTGGAGTGCAGGGATAAACGCTGGCTCTCACTTAGTCGCGCGTCTTCCATGGACTGCACAACGAAGGTTGGGAGTAATGCAAGGCAATATAAATGAGCTGAAATTTACGAAACAAGATAGACAGAGTTATAAACGCATGCAAGTGCGTATATCAGAAGAATTTAATTTTTAGAATTCGGTCAAAATTAGGTTGAAATAGGAGATTTAGTATTCAGAAAAAGAAATAGGGATCTACGTACCAGCAGCTGTAATGAAATTCTAAAATGTAATGAAATCCCGATTGGAGGATTTAGAATGCAAAACTATAATGAAAAAATATGGTAAATTCAAATGAGTTGCAAAGATAATTTGTAAGAGGATAATAAAAACAAATAAATCGTACTAGTATTTTGTCAAACAATTTGGGAATACGAGAGAGAAAGTATCTTGCCTCAATTTATCTTCCGTCGAACCCGAGTGATGTCGATAATAGACCTAAACCATTATACAGTGAAGTCGCATTAAACCTTTCTCATCTTTACGAAAGCATCAAATACAATCCTATTGTCAACATTACTCTCATAAAATATTTTATTCGTACCGGAATAGAAGATTGTGGTCGGTCGGCGGTCTCGATGGTGGGCATGAGCTGGTCAATGCGAGCCTCGAGCTGACACAGCTTAGCGTCCACATCCCTGCCCACACCGGCGGCGTCTTTGCCGCGCAGCGACTGCGTGCGTCTGCGATCACGAGACTCGGCACGCGTCATCTTCGTCTTCATTTGACGAACCTGGCATAAAATAAACGAGTTGTTATACGTCGGGTTTAGTCTAAATATACTGAGAAGTAACCTGAAGTAATCCCTGTCTTATTACTGCTGGCCAAATCACGAATATGCTGTTGGAATGTGGTCCAAGTATCACAAAGTCAGAGGAGAGAAATTTAGCAAGATTTGTTTATTCTAGTACGGCTTTCGTAATTAATATGATTTTATCATCGTAAGAAATACAGAATGAATAACTGTACATTTAAATATCTCTTCTGAAAATTTAAAATCAATTTTATCAAGAGTCTAAACGAGACAAAATTCAAAGCAAATAAGATAGACGAATAACGGTAATTTTTTTTCGTGAATCACCTGTTTCTCCGAGTTGCTGAGCTTGTTTGTGAGGTCTTGCACTCTTTCAGTCATGAGCGCAAGCTGAGCCTCAGCATCTTGACGCTGTTTAGCGCAGTCCTGACCGAGCTGAATGTGCGTGAGCTGAAGTGCGTCGTGCTCACTCTGACTCTCGCGCAGCTCGCGCCGGAGCGCGCGTATTTCACTTAAACTCAGCTCGAGTCGCGAGCGAACGTTGCAAAACTCGTCGTTGAGTCTGGAGTACGTTAACAGAGTGAGCGATCGGGTAAAATTTAATTAAAACATTCACTGTTTATGTAAAATTTTTAATGATAGCATTCATTGGCTTTCTGGTAAAAAGTAGTCCTAAAAAAAGTGAGCGATCAGGTAAAATTTAATGAAAGCATTCATTGTTTATGTAAAATGTTTAATGATAGTATCATTCATTGACTTTCTGGTAAAAATAGCTTCAAGTCACTGAGTAGAGCACCAAGTTAACTGTTATGAACAACTCACGTCTCTCGGTCCATAGCTTCAGGGTCGAGAGAGAAGTCGACGTTGCTGAGGTCGCTGAGACTGTCGAAGAGCGGCAAGTGGCGGCGCGATGAGAACTTTTCACGGCTGCTGTACACTGACGTCACAGAGCACGTCCGCTGTGTAATGTCATGGCGAAAAATTAGTCATGTTGAATTGAAGTATATTGACTTCAAATGTAAAGCAAATAGTACTATTGGCATCAAAAATAACGCAGATAGTGCTATTGGTACTATTTAAAATAAAGCAAAATAGTACTTCAAAAATGAAGCAAATAGTACTACTATTGGCATCAAAAATATCGCAGATAGTACTATTGGTACTATTTAAAATAAAGCAAATAGTACTTCAAAAGTAAAGCAAATAGTACTATTGACATCGAATGTCAAGTATACTTGTACAAGAGATTTCACTGATGCAATTTTCTATAGAATTGCAATAAACATCGTAGAAGTACATTGAAATGTGATGAAGAATGGCGGTTCAAATGCGTGGAAATATCTAGCAAAAAGGCAACTGCAAATTTACTTATTTTTTCTGAACAATCAGTAGTTTTGTGACACCAAAACGGTAGCGGCTTGATAATTTATCATTTACGTAACGTAACGCTTGTCTCGCCTCACTCAAGACTTTGATTAATTTTTTCTGAAAGTTACAAAGGAAATGTCTTTACAGTCTTTCTCTTAAAATTTTTACAGACAAATATTCTTCGTATCTTTAACCTGTCTTCCACAAGTGGGGTTGTTTAACGTGACGCGCCTCGTATTACGGTATAACGCAGAGATGTACCACACCTCGTTTTACGGTGTAAAGACATAACGCACCTCGTCTACGGTATAATTTAGCTACATGACGCACCTCGTTTACGTATTAACGTAACGACATAACGCACCTCGATTACGGAGTAACGTAAAAATATAACGCACCTTGTTATAAGGCATAACGTGTAACGTAAAAACACAAAGCATCTTGTTATAAAGCGTAGCATAACGCAACGCACTTTTTTAAGGCGTAGCATAACATAACGCACCTCGTTATAAGGCGTAACATAACATAACGCACCTTGTTATAAGGCGTAACATAACGTAACGCACCTTGTTATAAGCCGTAACATAACATAACACACCTTGTCATGTGGCGTAAGCTGTCTCTGCAGCTCCCTGAGCTTGGCGCTGAGAGCTTCGTTCTCTTCAATGCCGCGCTGCAGTCTGTCTCTGGTCACCTCGTGCTCCTGCTGAGATATGCGAAGACTCTCGCGAGCCTGCCGAATCTGGAAACAATTAACATGGTTAAAAAATAACTATTTAGAACATTTTCAAATTTAAATTAGTATTTCTGAAATTTTATTCTGCTGATATTTGTTATCAGCTTCATTATACTTAGGACAGATATAAAACGCAAATGATCAAACATGTAAATGAGAAATGAGGCAAATTTTCGAGCAATATTTTTAATTCATATGAAAACATTTACTAGAAACAATTTCAATTTTAGTTCGTCCAATTCATATCAAAATTTGGGACAACTTTAAATTGAAATAAGGCTATTCAAGGCATTTTTCTCTCAAGAAAACGCTACATTTGAAAGGGGTTCACCTCTTCTCTTTTCCTGTCCATGTCGATGTTCCGTCCATCGAGTAGAGACCTGAGCTCCTTGACAAGGTCCTTCCATTTGTAAACTTCACTTTTCTCGCATTTAATGCTTTCTTTGAGCTGCACGATCTCATTCTTGCAGTCGTTGAGCTGTAGGAAGTATTGAAACTTTAATAACATATAACATTGTAGTAGCCCAGGATTTGGCGCCTAACGTTGGCAACAGTTGAACCAGATGTTATGTCGCGTGTTGGTTTGGTTGCAGTTTTAATTTCAGTGTATTTCCTAACTGGTCACTTCTGTGAAATTAAAAATCATCACCTATTGAATTAATTGTGCATCAAGTCATATTTGTTCACGGTACGCCACTATTTTCTACTTTTCCAAGATTGTTAAGCTTAACTTGTTGCCTGTAACTAGTACTTATGCCTCCTTTTTTCACGGCTGCGGGAAGAGTATTATTCATCAGCTAAATTTATCAGATTTACCTGCTGCTGAACAATGCGTACTTATGATATCAAATTTTTTACACTCTCTAGCAACCTTGCCTCAATGATTCCTCAGTTAATGAACATAAATTGGTAAGCCCCCTCCATTGCTGCCGATATTAGGTATTGTCGTCCTTGTATTCCTTGCATGTTAACTTCACTTGTAAGGTTTAGGTTTATGTATAGTTTAGTTGCCCATTTCGTTTAAATGTTGAACATTTTTGTTTATCAGATGGGTGGGATACTTGGAGAGCCCGTCTAGGATTTGACACATTGGACTCTGTTGAGCATATGCCCCAACATCCACACATCCAACATCCACAACATGTTTGGCTTCCATGAGCCCGAAGCTAATTTGGTGCTTAGTCGCCGTTATTTGTTAGGTGTACCTCGAGCATTTGCTGTTATACTACCGAACCTTGCTAATTAGTAGTGGTTGTTATTTCTTTACCGATCTTGAATTATTTGCAGTCTCGCTGTGTAAAACTACTGTGTCTAAGAGATTTATTCATATTAGCTGTCAATGATATGCCTTTATTTGACTCCTTTATGCCTTTTTATTTGACTCCTGTGGAAAGTAGCCACTCATATACCGATGACGCAGGGTCTATCATGACTGCTCAGTATTAGAGTAAATAGAAGTCGAAATTTACAATTCGGACAAAAGAACAGGGACAAAATTTAGCCAGACTGGGCTTTCATGCTATATCAAAAGTTCAACTTGAAAAACAGTACGTCCAACTTTTAAATCAAATTCCAAGTTCTTCTTCAATCGGAATATTAAATACACCACCCTAAAAGAAGCGCGTACTGTAAAAAAATCTAAAGAATAGTGACCTCAGCCTAAATTTGAAGCGAGTCATTTATAAAAGTTTGCGTGCGTATATATACGTGTTTGTTGGAAGCCTGGCACAGTAAATATTTAGAGGCTGTTGGGGCGCATATCAAGGATAGCTACCGAGTCGGAATATTACCTGGACCTGAAATCTCATTTTTAATGGAGAATGGGAAAGAATTGTAAGAAAGGGAGGAAAGGATTGGATCAAAAATTTATAGTTGATTTTGAAAGTGGTAATTATAAATTCAATATAAAAGACGCAAAATTTTGTTTCCATTATTTAAAACGAGATCAAAATGGGAGGCATATCTTCTACGTAAATTGTGGGTTAAAAGGATTATTTTATTAGAATATATACACTTATTATTATCACCGGCAATAGGGATTTCAGTAATGACAAAATTTGGCAAAACAAAATTACGAAATTGCAGGAATTTTCAAGCTGGGCTAACCTGCTAGTATATAAATAATAACTAGAGATGAGTAATCTAACCCTTATAGTAGAGCGCGTAACATAAAAATAGAAAAAATTCACCTGGGCAAGTAGCGCAGAGTTGTCGGTTTGCAGCGACGCGGGGGTCTTGTGTTCCCTCAGTCCATCAGTGACGTCACGATCATCCAGCCGAGCCCTTAATGCCGTCACGCGTCTTTCCGACTCTTCCAGTGAGCTGAAAAAATACAATCATTTTATAAGTATTCAATAGATATAATAAAAAAATATAACTCAGTACTCACTGCATTGAGTGACAGAGAGTGCATTTTCTCGTCGACGAAAACATGAAGTCACGGACGGACGGACAGACAGACGGACGGACATGGCAAGCACGATAGCGCCTTTCTTTCCATAAATGAGAAAATGCGATATACATTTAATAAATACAATACGAGTTAAGGCTCTACGACGGAAATAATCTAAATTGTCGAGATATTGACCGTGCGAATTTTCAAAAATAAAGTAGTAACGTTAACACGAATACAAATATTTTCTTTAACAGATTTTCAAATCAATTACTCGTAATATTAATCCTTAAATTATGCATAATTGTATTTTTAGTGATAATGTGCAACCAACCTCTTGAGCTGCCGGACGGTGTCGAGATGACCGTTCCCTCCCTCAGCGGCCTCTCGCCAGGCTGCTTTCTCTTGCTCGTGTCTGCATTGCGAGACAAAAAACAGTCATCATTTCAATTTGAATGAGGCATAAAATTTAAAAATATATAAAATATATATAACTCCGTACTCACTGCAGTGAGTGACAGAGAGCGCATTTTCTCAGAATTGACGAAAACGAGAAGTCATGGGCAGAAAGACGGACGGACAGACGGACATGACGAGCACAATAGAGCATTTTTCCTTAAATGAGAAAATGCGCTAAAAAACAATGTTGTTAAATAGTTCATGAAAGCTATTTAAATCCTAATACAACTTCGCCTGGTAAATAAGAAAAACGTGCTCCAGACCGTTTACACAAGCTAAGCAGGAAGCGTTTCGAGGGGAGTTCGCAATATCAACGATGCACGCAGCGACGCAATTAACGCACAATACGATGTGGCACATCCAACACGAAGAGCAACCAATCGGCGATAGGAACTAGAATGTATTTGGAAAGGAACGTCTTCCATTATGAAACTTGTACCTTAGAAAAATAGATTAATAGTCAATAACGAGTGAATTGAAGGGCAATCCTAGCTCGACCAAAGCTTTTTTCACTGTCTCCAACATTCAGTGCTAATATATGACTAATATATAGACTACCTGATTAAAAAGCCCTAATGAAAAACGATGCTACTTTTTCAATCAATTAAAGTGGGTTCTTCTAAATACATTTCAGTTCCTGTTAGAACCCTAATCCATCGGTATTGTCTCAGCAAACGCAAGAAAAGGTATGAGGATTTCTTTTAATTTCAAAAGGTTAAAAATCCATCCAATATACTAAGAGTGAAATTGACGTCAGTTATATGCGATCTACATACGTAAGGCACTTATACATATACGAACTCGCTCCTTAATTGGTTCGATAAACCCCACACGAGACTAATAAAGGAAAGCGATTTAATGATATAACTGAGTATAGCTCCACCTAGACCGCTGTCAATACAAGTTTCATCTAATCCTCGTATAGTGGTATTGAATTGCAGGCATTGGCTTACACAATATGCCTTTCCATCGTAAGTTTTTTGGAGTACGTGCGAGTGAATAACTCGTCTGTTTATAATGCTTGGCTGAAACGTAAAGCAAGTCCAACACACACTCACGTCGTCTATTATATAAAAGATGACTTTATTTGCTCATGTATAACGACACGTAACATATTCTGCTCTTCACAACATGAAATTATAGAATTTCCGCTTTAATTTTAGCGGAGAATTAGGCAAACAGAATGTCTACAACATAATTGTCTTTATGAATAGCAAACTTTCGGAGAGACTCGCAGATAGAAAATTTGAATTTCGAATTTCATCAATGGGTCATGACGTAATTGAGACACAAATACGATGTAGCATTAGCCCAAAGGGTATATATTTTATGCATGCATACCTCATCTCGCAACACTTTCTTTTTCCTTTCACGTCATTCTTTGCAAGTCCGGCCTCGTCATGCAGACAGAGAGCCATCAAGCAGCTGTTGTCCCATTACGCAAGTCAGTCATGCGCACTTTCACCTACCTTAACGGTGACAAAATTGGCAATTTACGCAGTAACGTAATGTGCTGTAGGAAATTACACGCGCTTCTCGCAGCCTAACTGTAATATAACGAGCAGGCTGTTATTACCCCTTAACGGAAACTTCGCACAACGAACGTTATCGTGAGAGCTACGACGCTCACGACCAATGAATGCGTGTCCAATGAAGGTTTTAGAAATCCTAATCAAGGGATTATGAATAGGATGTATAAAAAAACTCCCCCAACTACAGTAAATAAATCCCACATAACATAAAAAATGATTCGATTTGATTAATATTTCATAACAACGTTCGAAATGGAGTAATCTCAAATTATATCGAGCGATCATTGCAAATTAATGACATCATACAAAATTTACGTAATTTAAAGGCCCGAATTAGTCCAAATGCTTACAATACGCATGATTAGTCTAAAAATTTGAATTCACTCCCGGAAAAATTTTAATATTGTAAAGGCATTCATGCATGCATGAGAATAAACGTTTCCAAAAAAAAAAATGATTTTGCTTATGGAAAACAGAATGACAGGAAACAAATATTTCAAACTATGAGACAGTGTATTTTACAACAAATTCTGATAATATTTACAATTGGTAATGGGAATCTATATGAATTTTGTTGACGCGATCAAATGAGCGTTCAGTCAGGATGTGACGGAATCTATCGTTCGTAACACGAAACCTACATATCAACACAGTAAAAATATCCGATCCTGTCCATCAAAACAAAAAAGTTGAATTTTTGGTGTGCAGAAATCACGTAATTAGTGTAATGCTAGACTGGAAAAATTGTGCATTAATCAATGATCATTCAAGCACTCGAAAACATGTTTAAAAATCACACGAAAGGAAACAGTGATAGACGCGATGTTTTAATGAGAACTGATCGCGTAACTCACCCTTCTTTGGAGAAGAAATGTGCATACAAGCTTCGCGAGTTGCTGTACCGAAACGGCGGCGAGCAAATCATGATGGCGAATAACACTCGTCGTAGTATTTAATGGGAGACGTTTATCACTTTTAATATGTATAACAATTCAAGAGTATTGCCTCGTGCAAGTTATAGTTCACCCAATTAGAGCCACCATTCAATTTTTCATGATAAATGTGCTTCTATACTTCAAAAGTTTCCACTCCCGTTATCGTATTTCGTTACCCAGATGATCAACCTAAAAAATGAACACTTTTTAATTGTGAAAGTTTGTCACTAGTCAATGTAATGCAAATTAAATCAATACGTACACAACTGAAAACTCACGAAAATTGAACGTATTTTCCATTATTTTTCCATTCTCTCTTGTTAGGAACTCCTTTCAGATGTAAACCGTACGACTTTCTAGAAAATGTAGTTCCTAGAATAAAACCGTCCCAATTTTAGAACCAATACAGGAATGGACTTTAAAACCAAACTAGGACCCAGACCTTTCACATCATATTCGTGTCCGGTAAATCGCGCAAGAGCTACGGACAGACCAAACGTGTAACCATCCAACACACCGCTCTCTGCACGACTGCGTTACGATCAAGGGAACAAGCTCCCACAACTATGTTAACGCTTACCTCATCGAAGACATCAATAAAAAAACCATTAGAATGCGACCAAAACTATTGCAGTTTACAAAACGAAAACTCGAATAGAAGAACATTTGCGAGCGAGCACAATCATTAACTACTATCTTCTCGGAGACTCGAATAAAAAAAACATTAGGGAGCATGCACGACTACAATTCATAACTATGACCGATAAATAGTTACTGCATTAAACATTTCGATGGATGTATTATCTGAAACTTTCATTGAATTAATTGAAGGCTCAGGTAATAAAAGCGTTAAAATACACGTACGCCTTGACATAATATAAATTAAGATAATGCAACGCACACAGAAATCCTGCACCCAGTTATAAGTATTATTATATATCTATAATACTTATTTTCTTCGAAGATATTACGTATTCTAAGCCACACCAGCAACAAACCGTTAAGTGTCCAAATTGTAATCATGGCGCGTAATGCTAACGACAACAGTTTCGCTTCATTGAGTGTAACATAAAGCTGCCAAAGTATGTCGCATTATCAAGATATGCGCACACTAATGAGCATATCAGGGTGCCCTCAAAACGGAATCGCAACCAAAAAGTTCGCAACAAAACTGGACAAAAAGTCACCCGAAATCTAGGCAGCGGTCCAGCTGGCTACCCACGCATGGTGCACTCAACAAAGTTTAATTGCTAATACGTCACAATGCTAATGAATAATAGAGGGAAAGTTGGGTGTATGCCTACATGACCAGGAAGAAGTTATCATATGCAAACAAGGCCAGAGAAAATAAGGGATGTTTGCACGGCTCCATGATGGTTTTTTTCCTACATAAAAAAAGTATGCCGAAAGTTTGAGCGATGAAAGAAGAGAGCGGCTGCGATCCACTAGATTTGGGAATTGGGGAAGGTAGTTAGTTCGTATCATAACTACCAGATATTTTCTAGTTCATTGTTATCCTACACAGCACACTACACACAGCAGGATAACAACGAACACAGGAGGATAACAACGAACAGGCAGCCACAGAGTGCCTCACGCTAAAGTTTCAATATATTATTACTGTGAAATGGTAGCTATGTAAAGTGTGTGGAGATTGCACCAGCATCAATACAATATAATACTGAATTTTCTGTTAAGTATCAAATATATGAAGAGAAAATAACTGAATACTGAATACCAATACTGAATCCAATAACACTGAATTTTCAATATATTAAATTCTCTAGAATAGTAGAAATGTAAAGTGCGCGAAGATTGCACCAGCATCAATACAAAGAGATACTAAAAAGGTCAGTGCCACAATAGGAAAAAAAAATTAACAAAGGCAAGGTAAAAGAAAGCTCGGTCGGCAAGCAAGCATGGACCAGACTCTAACAACTTTCTAACGAGGAAAAAGTGGATGCCCTGGGTAACTTCATAATGAAAACAACCGAGAACTTATACCACTAATACCACTCACATTATCATACAACTCATATTATAAAACCTAACGAAATAAATCAAGTTTTTATACTTTAACACACGCCCGCATTCGCTCTTGATTATGTCTTTTAAATGGAATACATCCGGATGCGCCAGCATTCAACATGACTCATATTATCGTTGAGGAATTGATACTTTACTTGAAAATCGCATTGAAATAAAAATTCAATGCGCTAGCTGCAAAAACAATTCAAGAAACAAATAAATGAAAAAGATGTACCTAGTTTGATGCTTAACTAAATGTTCTAATTTCAAGACTTGATAAGATGATAAGTAGCTAAGAATCTAAAAGCAACGATAACACCAAGTAAATTCACTATATCCATCTCTTAGTTTTCTTGACGCTTTACTTGCTTTTAAATTATTGGTGAACTCGCGATTTAAGCAGACAAATGATACAAATATTTATAAATTATTAGTAGATATTGACTTTAGAGATTTTAATGGAAACAATTTTTTCATGTAATACAGATGCAATTGTATCGATATTAGTTTCATAATCAATCTATGACTACCTGCATCAACAGATTCATAATTAATGCTAGCAATACGATATAATTAACATCCAAGCGTTCTGTATTATGCAAGGGATTTTGAAATAAAAACCACGCAAGTTTGAGAAAATGAGGGTGACATTTAACGCGGATGCGAGGAGAATGGACGAGTTCACGCTCTGGTAGACAAAAGGGATCTGAGCTTCATATTCTTACTAAATTGTATACTTGTTTGTTTAAGCTGTGACAGGTCTCACTGGAGAAACTTGTCTTACGCAACACTTGATGACGAAAGCCACTTCTTGCGCACGATTTCGAAAAAAATTAGTTAAAACTTCCGGCATCAGATAACTGGCCATATTACTCAGAGTAATGGAATCCCTTACTCGAAAACACTTGAAAAAAGCTAATACTTGCAGTAAATTAATGAGAAAAATCATTGAGAGCAGAGTAGATAAAAGACAAAAAATATAATAAAGCTGGCTAAAGACTGTACAAAGTGAAGCTTAAGCAGTTCTGATAAAAAAATTCCTTTTGAAAGTAATCCGAAATTGAGCATTTTGTAGTTGAGTGCCTCGCGCTCAACGACAGCTACTTGCAATGCATTAACATTCCTTAACCGCTGTGGAAATTGAATGAATGAGTTTATTACAAATGTAGAGTCAAGGTTCAAGTACTCACAGTTTAAGGAGAGGAATGATGTCAATAATTCCATTAATTAGCACTCAGTTCAGAACCATGAAAAACCAAGTCTCTTCTGATAAATTAGACATCCTTAACTCTTTTCATACAAGTACGACATGTGTGAAACTTTATTCGATTGCAAATGTTTATACGGTACGCGAACAAGTAAGGCTGTAAATGTAAAAAAATGGTATCGGTTATTTCACGACAATTTTTTTCTAGGTCGGAAAACGGCAGAGTGTATACATATGAAAAAGTTCATAAAGAGTTCGTTGTTGTGGGATTCTTTCCCATGCACACACCGGGAAACGACACAATGCTCACGGTATTAGCTCGACTGAAAAGGCCGACTAGCTGGCATCTATCAGTGAGCACATTTTTTTCCGGAATGCACTTGGGAGAAAACTAAAGTGAAGAAACTGAACTTTTATCACGATCACAATCGTTTCTTGCAAAAAATTTCAGGAGACTCTACATTTTTTCCGACAATTTTGAGAGCTTGGAAATTGAATGAAAATGAAATTCTTTTCATAGGAACTTCCTAAATCTACATGGAGGAAACTCCACATTTCAAATTTATTAGAATGTTGCATCTCATTTTAATAGTTAAAATTGCACGTTAATTCCGAACCATAAAGGAAGTAAGAACGACGTAGTATAGCCGGCTAAAGAAGAATTAGTAAAAAAACGTAATATATACGTCCATTTGTAAAAGACAGGTATAAATGAAACAGACATTGAATTAAAAACCATAATGGCTGATGACAGCGACCCAGTTCAGCTCAAGATAGCGGTGACCGTGAGAACTCGATCACCACACAGCTGAGGATATGAAGCACTGCTCCTATAACGATGGCAGGATGCATGCAGTACAGCGAGGATATGCAAGACGGCTGCTCCTATAACGATGGCAGGATTGAGGATATGCAAGACGGCTGCTCCTATAACGATTGCAGGATGCATGCAGTGCAGTGCGGATATGCAAGACGGCTGCTCCTATAACGATGGCAGGATGCATGCAGTGTAGTGATGATATGCAAGACGGCTGCTCCTATAACGATGGCAGGATTCATGCAGTGCAGTGCGGATATGTCTTACAATTTACATCGAGGGAACGTTCATGTGGTGAAGTTAACGACGAGGCGAATCAAAAAGAAAACTGTCGATCCGAATGATTCGTAGTAAACAAAAGTATAGTATAAATTATTGCAATGCGAATTTGGCAAGCGTTTCAGTATAACTCAACAACAACCCAAACCGTAGCTATTAACTTCGAACAATTTGCAAATCATTTTGCAAATGGACTATCTGCACGTGTCCATGATAATCAATTCATTTACAGTTTTACACTATTTTTAGGTAATCAACTTCACAGATTACCATTAAATATTGAAGCGATAAAGATATTGAACCATCCCAAAGCTGATACTCACTTTGATTGAAGTTCACGTAGCACGTTCGCCTGTTCTACCAGCTGCCGGTCTTTGATGTTTACTTGTTCCACGAGCCGATCCACCTGCGACATCGAGGAGTAATATCTTTTAATATTGAAAAATTCACAAGGAAATTTCAAACAAAGAATATCTTGCGAGCATTCACGCTGTTAATCATCAAATAAGTAAGACATTCTCGTACGAAAAGCAGCATAAGCATAAGAAACAAATGCGTCTGAATGGACCGCTAACGATTAGTATCATGAAATCGAACAGGAACTAATAAACAAAATTAGTGATAATGTTAATGTATTTAAAAAGTTGATAAATTCAAGAGAGGAAGACAACACTACAGAATAAGTCTATATTGGCCTTGTGATGAATTTACCTTTTTGTAAATCGTCTGGCGCATTGTAAATCGTCAATTTATATCGTAATGGCACACGGAACATTTCGATTTCAAACTGAGCCAACGCTATATGAAAAAAAAATTTCAAAGTGAAAAATCAAATTTAAAAATTTTGGCTCGAGTGTTAAACTTTGTCGTTTACGAATACTGACGTAGTAATTAACCAATGCACAAAAATGTTATCGAGCGTTTGATTGCATAATGAGTACCCGTCATAGTACCGCTTTTTTAACACGAAAGGTCACAAGCAAAAGAGTTTTCATATTGGTAAGCGAGTATCTGCCTTTCTGCCGCCATGCGCGACACAAATAACGAACAGACTCCTCATGCAGGTCGAGACTTGCATCAATAAATGCAGTTATAACAGAAATTAGACGTGTTAGCTAAATGCCAGCTTTTGACAGTAGCTGAAGAAGGCATCTTACTTATAAAAGAAAATGAAATGAAACTCATTTCGCTTATGAGTTAATGACTCGAGTAAAGTGCGGCTCAAAAAAATTTCTTTCCAATAGTGGTTGCCACCGACCCACCGACTTCTACTATCGTATTGGCTGTTAATAGGTTGTAGTTTTTGCATTTTGTTCAACCTCAGGCGTAAATAATTAATGAATTGAGAAAATGATTGTTTGAATTTAACGGTTATCCGCTGGAAATTCTGCCCATATGTCCAGTCGGTCGCAAAACACTGTAAACAGAACTTCTTTGCGTGATACTTGGCAATTCAGCGTAGTTATGCCTATAGTGATATAACATAGCCTCATAATTTTAATAAGGTCATGGGTTCACTTAATTTCATTTGCATATTGAAAAATTTCGGTGAAATATTGACTAAAAATAAATTATGTAAATCTAACTAGGCTTTTGAAACTAGTCAATTATTGATCGTTATGTTAGCGGGTGAGAGTGTTAACTGCACATATTGACGTATTTTGTGTTCTACAGAATTGTTTACTGGAGTCCAATTAAATTTTTCTACTCTATAAGAATGCTTCTCAGCAAAATAGAGCGACACATCAAAACTACCTCTCCCAGTGCCTCTAAACACAATTTATTTGATGATGACGGTGTTCTTGATGAAGACTTTTCAGTCTGTTCAATACTGTCACCCAAAAGTTGAGAAGAAAGTCATCGAGATGTTAAGGATGGACCGATACTACTTGTAATCAAGCCCTCTGAATTCGAAATTTTTTAACAAGAAGCCCCTAATAAGATTCCACGAGGGTGTAATAAATCAGAATAAGATCTGGTTTTCGCAAAATTCAACAGCCATGCACAAGGCACAGGATGAGCAATAGTCGTACACTAGACAAGGTCGTACGTAACAGAGTTACACTGCAGGCAAGGTAGCACGTAGCAGTCCTAGCTGCTATGCATGCCCGGGCGCGCATGCAGTCCTACACGACATGCAGGAGCACGATGTTCACCTATACTGCCGGGGTGTACACGCAGTCCTACACTGCACGCCGAAGTGCACACGCAGCCCTGTAGTACTAGATGCCGGGGCACGTACGCAGTCTTACATAACATGCAATGACATGTCGTCCTACGTTGCATGCCGGGGTTGCAGACGCAGTCCTACAACACTACCTGGAAGAAACTGCCTGACCATCAGCTAACTAGTAATAGTGAATTCAAACAGAAACCATGATGCGTTATGTGCAAGCGAGGAAATTGCAAAAACACATGGTTTTTTATCTTCAGAAAATGTCCAGTCAGAATATATGAAAAATAAAAAAGGAGGAACGTGCAACAAATGCTTCTACCGAAGCAACTATTTGACCAGAAGGGTGTAAGGCACATCCCCTCATGACGTGACGTCGAATAATAAGTTTCAGATAAACGATATTTTCAGTGTAGCACTTGAGCGTATTTTCATTCAAGTGTTAATTATACTACATGTCACCAGCTTTTTCATTAGAAATGTAACGTATTTTGTTCATGTGTGAAGGTCATTCGTCCAATTGTTCAGATTTGTCGCTTCTAGTTTCAGTCTGCGCTACGACCATGTGGACATATATGAAATCCTTCAAATTTTTTACAATGAATAAACTTTAAAAATGGGGAATAATTCTTCATAGTGATTAGAAATGTGTCGCACAAAAAATTGCATTTCAATTTTTTTGTACCTATAAAATAAAACGAATTAAAACTTATAAAATAAATCTAATTTCCAGCTCATATTGTTCGAGTTAGTATTGCACCCAAACTCTCAGTAGCGCCAATTCAACAGCGAAAAAATACCAATTAAATGAAAGTGACCAATAAAAGTCGAAGGGAATTTTTTCATCATTGAAAGTAACGAGAACAAATTTTTGAGTTTTTTTGCAGTGACTTAGCATTGAACAAGTCAACATGCGTGTTACATGCAGTGGAAGCATCAAAAACCCAGGGGTAAATACAAAGCTACTTCTAATATTAATCGAAATGAGAAAGAAAGATAACGCAACAAAAAACTACAAGAGGTAAATCAAATAAAACTAATGCCGCTAAGAAATAAAAATGCACTAAAAATTATACGAGTGATTACAAAAAAAACACAATATCCTAAATTATTAATACGAGGCAATACATTACAAATGGATTGAGTATTTAATATACGAGTAATTTATATACACTTTCGAAGCACAAACTATCTGCACGCTTCATCATGTTACTTTCTATGTGTTCGTTTTTACAACTATAAACAACGTTTCAGCTGTAGAATTGTAAAGTCAATGAAGATTTTTCAGTAAACAGCATACAAGGGAGAGCTCAAGTACCATCCAACCATCGAGCGTTGTAAAGAATTTTTGTGGTTCGCTGTAAAGATGTAAAATAGAAGCACCATAAGAATTATTACACGATTCTACAAAAAAATATCAACGTAAATTCAGACCCCAAGTGCACCAGCAAACTCTACAAGGGGACGGAAGAGAACTCGGCGGTTACCTCTCCTTGCAAGAAGTCAGCTCGTGTCAGAACTTCTTCCATTTGAGATCGTGCTATAGTATTATCTTCGTCAGCGACAAGCGTGGCTTCCTCCAATCTTGCATTTCTCTGTTCTTCTTCCAAAAGCATGTGTTCAGTCACCTCGAGTTTTTCTTTCAATATTAGGTTCTCCGAAACGAACTTGCGTTGAATTTCATCCAATGCAGTTTCTTTTTCGTTGAAAAAAGCCTGGGCATCAAGAAACTCTAGTCGTAATGCATCCAATTCTTTGTCCCTCACCTCAATCTGGTGTCGGAATTGCGAGAGGAGGTCATCGGATTCATCCACACAAGCTTGAAGCTGGAGAATTGTAGCACAATGTTCCTCAACTTGTTTACGACATCTTATTGCTTCTTCCTTAAATTCATCGCACTCATTTCTCACGACTTGATTTCCGTCGCGCAGTTCTTGTAGCTGTATTTCGTAATCGAGATTCAAGTTCTGTAGTTCCGAGAGCTGTTCTAAGGTCTCGGCCAGGTTGGCTTCGGCAGCCATCAACTTTGATCTCACACTCTCGAGCTCCTGCAGTGATTCAGGCGGACTTTCTTCGGCGTTTGAGGGGGCAATCTGACGCGCAAAGTTGTCAAATAAACATTCGGAATGACGAAATGATGCTTCGATCGATACACAATAGCAAGATTATTTGAATAAAGGAAATGTGTGTAGGTTGGAACACTAACGGAGCGACGTTGCAAAAGTGTCGCCGTTGAAATAAGATTGATTAACGGCCTCACAAACCTTCCTCGAAAATACAGGTGAAGAGGACATGCTGGTGCATCAGAAATATACTTTGATGAAAAATAATAGGAGGTGCTACACAAAATCGCCTGGTCATTGCATGTGCTCCAAAACGAAGTGACGTGCACGTTTACGAGAGTATAGGATATGATTTATCAACGTAATCATGCTGAAGTGTAAAGTGCATGCAATGCTGTTTCGCTCTGACACAAAGGTTTTACACTCTCACTTTAATTATTATTTAAAACATATCAATTAAATGCAAACGCTGTGGAGAACTGTGAGAAAAGAATAAATTTCAATCATCACAAATTCGACGTTTTGTAAACTGTGCAGGGAGTTGACTGGTGCAGCAGAAAATATTATTACATTTAATTGATCGTAATTATTAAGTCAAATAACGTCAAAAACTTGTCAATAATTAATTTTACATTCGTGTTACGATTTTAGTAGACATTGTAATCGTATCGTTATACTTATAATTTGGTTTTCTTCTAGACTACATACGAAAAACAGAGTTAACGTTGAAAAAAGCGTAACAGATTAATCATGTTGAGGAAAATAATGCAAAATGAAATTGAGTTGAATTTGAAACACATCAAAAAATTTAGAGGAATAATCTGAATTGCTGAAGCAGTTTCTTTAAAAAGAAAGATGAAACTGATGCCATCGAAGCGGTTATGTCTTTGAACTGAGATTGTCAGGTTAAGGCTTATGACTTTATGAATGACTTTATGACTTTTTATGACTGTCCATCTAAAGTCTATGATGTGCAACGCTACCTGAGGTGCCGTGAGGAGAGCTCCATGACAGCCCCTGGAGTATGGAGCGACAGTCACGCGCTGGTGCAGAGCCACGTGCTCTTTGTGCAGCTCCAATAAGTCAGCCTACGTCACAGAGCAAACCAGTCGAGCGAGTCAGAATACGCTAGGTATGTGAGGTAGTCTAATTCTCTTCCCGATATAGTCAATCATCAAATGCTGAATAAGAACGTTATACGTGCTAATGTTAATGATATACTGGAGAAAAATGAGCGTTACGTCAAGTGCTGTCTTGTCACTGATCATATTTCAGTTCTTGCAATACCCGGACAAAGCATTGAGAGTATATTCATGTTTTAGACAAGCGATGTACGAGGTGCTTTAAAGGCGGTAAGTTTCTAGGTATCATTTTTGGTAAGTCTGAAAGCTATATAATAATCGAAAAATATGTTTACACTGAAAACCCCGAATGAGACACCGACTAATTTATTATTGAGAAATTTTTGACGACGTCAAAAGCGCTGGCGCATTTGCACGTTAACTATCGGCCGCATGCGCATTGTCTAGAACTGAAACTAGGTTAAAATCCATTTGAGTCAAGAGAAAACATTTGGTGAATTAGGGCTTGATCATAGAATCTACACCGTCATTGTTTTTGCCCTACGTAGGTTTAATTATAGATCGTGTTTGTTACAATTGTTATGAAATTGTAGGGGAAGGTTTCATGAGGAATGCATATTTTTGATCGATCAGAATATGAGACTAAGTGCTGAGATAATGAACGTGAATGCATTAGTTGATCACACGCTTCTGTGGCACATCATACTATGGAAAACACACTACACGCAAAAACTTTGAAGACAAATGCACTCCATTAGCTAAAAAAATCACTCTCAGTTTAAAAATATTTAAAACTACGAATAGAAATGGAACATCAATGCCTGGATGCTCGATGCAGGGAAAACACTCTACATTCAAAAAATTTGAAGACAACTGCACTCCATTAGCTAAAAAAAAATCACTCATTTTAATAAAAAAGTTTAAAACTACGGAAATAAATGGAACATCAATGCCTGGATGCTCGATGCAGGGAAAACACTCTACGTTCAAAAAATTTGAAGACAAATGCACTCCATTAGCTAAAAAAATCACTTTCAGTTTAAAAATATTTAAAACTACGGAAAGAAATAGAACATGAAAGCCTGGCTGCTCGATGCAGGGAAAACACTACACGCAAAAAATTTGAAGATAAATGCACTCCATTAGCTAAAAAATCACTCTCAGTTTAAAAATTTCTGAAACTACGAATAGAAATAGAACATCAAAGCCTGGTTGCTCGATGCAGGGAAAACACTCTACATTCAAAAAATTTGAAGACAAATGCACTCCATTAGCTAAAAAAATCACTCTCAGTTTAAAAATATTTAAAACTACGAATAGAAATAGAAAATCAAAGAAGCCTTGATCCTTACCTGAGTAGCCTCGAGCTTCGCCTTGAGAGTTTCCACTTGCGTCTCCAGCAGGTCGACCAGCAGCGCGTCGCCGCTGCCTGACGCGAGCGTGCCGGAGCTAGAGACCTGCACATGAACAATATATAATTACTGATTAGGATCCAATACTCCGAATCCTGCAATAAATTGAGTTGCAACACTGCTAATGGCGCAAAAAAATGAGTTACAGCACTGCAAATGGCGCAATAAGTTAAGATGCAGCTCTGAGGATGGTATAACTAAGTACTAATGCATATCACTGCGAAAGGTATCGCAAATTAAGAAGCAACACTGCAGTACATCAGAGAAATGGCTGCAGAAAGAACATATCATTTCATTGTTATTTAGGAACAATTTATTTAAAGTAAATTTGAAATTTGAAGTTACCTGCATCACATATATTACGCAAGTAAGTGAAAAATTCAATGTATAAAAATTCAAAATATAATTCTACCAATGCAGAGTTACAATGTAATTGAAGAAATAAATTTTTATTAAAGTCTTATCACACTGTAAATTATGCGCAGTAGGCGATTATTGATCAAAGTTGCAGACTTGCCTTCTCGTGATTGATGGAGCCTTCCAAGTCCAGCGACCTGAGCGAGTCGGACAACTTGAGCGACGAGACGCCGGTCGGCAAGTTGGACAACTTTGCGCAGGTCGACTGGGCGGCGCAAGGGTGGCCGTCGATACCACGACCACAAGGCGACTGTGAATCAACTTCATCAGAAATAGAAGTCTTTGGAATGTTCTGCTTGACGGTGAGATTTTGCATGTCTCTGTAGCGGTCCAGAAGGTTCCTGCCCAGACCGAATGGGCTCTCCGAAGTCGGGAAAGTATCAGCGGTTGTTCTTCGGGAGTTGGGTGGGGACGACTGAGACCGAGGCTTTCTAACGGGGCTGCTGGTGGAGTGCGGAAGTCGTGACCCATCTGATGAAAATAACAAAATTAACAATCTTAGTTAAACTTGTATAATGAACTATAAAGAACAATGAAAATTGATTTCTATAACAAATACCAAGTAAATAAATTGGAAAAAAACAGTCTTGAAAAAATCAGTCCAAGCAAATATATCTGAAGAGGCGCTATTTCAACTCGCACGGCTTATCGCGGATTAGAATTAGCAAAATGAATCAATCAATTGGATGCATAAATCAATTAAATGAATCAATCAATTGAATGAATCAATCAATTGAATGAATTGATCAATCAATTGAATGAATCATAATGAATCAATTCCTGCAACTCACCCCAGTCGAAGAATTCAGCGTTCTCGTTGCTGACGTTGCTAACCCCCGATGTCTCGGACGCTGTTTTGTACTCATCATCAGACGACAAAGCAACTCGAGACGGGCTGCGTATCTCACCAACATCCTCGTCTTTAATGCCGTCGAAGGGCTTACAGATGTCGGCTTCACTTGAAGAGAAGTTAGACTTAGGCGCACCGTTGGGAGTGGAGAAAGACTCAAGTTTAGAGCCAGAGTTGTTGAGCTGGGAGGCATTTTTCTTGTTGTTCGAGAGCAAACTTTTGTTTACAGTAGAGTTGTCGCGCTCGGCTGCGATGCTTTCAATGGTCGCACTTCAAGAATAAAATTTATAATTATAACACAAATTAATATAACAGATCATTGATAGAAAAAAATGAAGAAGCAAAGATGTTTTAAAAACTAACCATGAGGATCAAATTGTTCTAGTTAGATAAACTTAGAACGCAATGTGATATAAATTAATCCAACAAAAAATACATGTTCAAACGAGCTAGAGTCTTTAATAATATCAGCAATATTATGCATCCGAAAATTATGATTTAACTGAAAATACTCACGTTTTCTGAAGCGCTTCTTTTTCCAACGTGGTCTTGACAGCCTTGAGCCCAGCGGCGTTCCGCAGTGCCGTCACCCAGTTGTTGCGGATGCCCGCGGTCACGGCAGAGAAAACAAACTGTTTCTCCGACCACGTCTAAAAAAGTAAAAGGACGCGTGCTAAATCACCTGTATAAATAGTCTACGTGAATGATATACGAATCTAATATTTGAAATTGCTATTTTGTAATGTTTTGTAAAGCTTCCGAGAAGGGCACATGTAATCCAGCCCAATGTAAATTTTTGTGCGAGTCATGAAATCGAAAATAAAAATATAAGTTTGAAAATTTAAATATCCAATAATATCCAGAATTTTTATTTAGATCCGCCACTTCCGAAAACAATGCAGATTTGAAGACACACAGCGATCTAATACGCCAAATCCAACATAAATATGACATGACAAATATTTCAATAATTGACGCTCACTTTGATGACGAAGCCATAATTTCTGGCGACGTCGACATTATGTATGTCCTCAGCGGTGGCCATGTCGATGATGCCGTCCAGTATGCCGTTGTCCTCGGCGCTGGAATTCCTGTAGAAGCGAAGGCCGGCGCCTTGCAGCACGAACCAGTACTTGTTCCATTCCTGCTCGGGATAAAACGCGTTCAAATATTATAAATATTACGATAAAACGCGTTCAACTATAATAAATATTACGCTAAAACGCGTTCAACTATAATAAATATTACGATAAAACGCGTTCAATGCGTTCAACTATAATAAATATTACGATAAAACGCGTTCAACTAGAAACTATTAACAGTGGGGCGCTGGCGAGAATATATATATAAAAGTTTCATGCTTGCTTTGGCTACAGATAGAATGAAACATGAACCATTTTAGGCATTCCTGAATTGAAGTCAATTTTATGATTTTTGAATAATTTCTCAATTTTACAGAGCTTGTATTGCTACAAATTTCCATTATTAAAACATAAAGTCACTTTCTTTGGCTTAGTATAGTTGATCTTTTTTTCCCCATTTATATAGACAATAAGGTGAAGAAGTCATAAGTACAGTTGTTTATGATTGTATTGCTACAAATTTCCAAGTCACTTTCCTTGGATTAGTATAGTTGATCTACATTGCCCATTTATATTTAATAGAAGGTGAAGTAGAGTCATAAGTACAGTTGGTTTATGATTGTATTGCTACAAATTTCCATTATTAAAAAATAAAGTCACTTTCCTTGGATTAGTATAGTTGATCTATATTGCCCATTTATATTGAATATAAGGTGAAATAGGGCCATAAGTACAGTTGGTTTATGATTGTATTGCTACAAATTTCCAAGTTACTTTCCATGGCTTAGTATAGTTGATCTATATTGCCCATTTATATCGAATATAAGATGAAATAGTGCCAAAAGTACACTTGGTTTATGAAGGTCATTATCACCTGGTTATCGCCCGCCTTCAGCAACCAGCCCTTCTTAATGAAGAGCAGGTCCTCCGCTGGGAGGTCGACGCGCGGCAGGCTTACGGAGCCTCCTTCGTCAGTGCCGCCACACCCGTCCGGGGCACCGCGCATCTGAATATTTTTTAGGTTAAGTTTTAGCTGCACAAATATCACTGACGTTGTATAAAAAATTCACATCCAGCGTAACTGAAATTGTAGCTCGAAAACATACTGAATATTTTAGATGTTAAGATTTAGACGCACAAATGTCACGGACGACGTACAAAATATTCACATCCAGCGTAACTGAAATTGTAGCTCGAAAACACACTGGATATTTTAAAAGTTAAGTTTTAGACGCACAAATGTCACGGACGACGTACAAAATATTCACATCTAGGGCAACTGAAATTGTAGCTCTAAAACATACTGAATATTTCAGAAGTTAAGTTTTGTTTAGACGCACAAATATCACAGACGAAGTACAAAATATTTGTATCCAGCGCAACTGAAATTGTAGATCGAAAACATGATCATATTTAATTCGGAAATTGAAGACGAAAAATAACCACAAATATCACAGACGAAGTACAACAAATTCACATCAAGCTCAAAATGAAATTGTAGCTCGATAGCATTATTATATTTAAATCGGAAATTGAAGCAGAAAATAACAATTAAGTTACGTATTGGTACAGAAGAGAAGAGGTATTGGTACGTAGGGCAAGAAGTTGAAACGTAAACAGTTTAAAAACATTGGATACGGATCAAAATCACGGAATATCACGATCGACCGCTAATTCTTCTTATATTTACTTTTTTTTAAATCTAGGGCAACTTAAGAAAACGTCAGCTCTTGAATCCGTCTCATGCTTGAATCAGTTTCGGGAAAACATTCTGTCTCATACACGGGAAAACATTCTGTAAATATATACGTAGATTGTGGAACAAACAAAATACATGAAAAAAGCTACCGATCAGTCGCTCTTGCATCGAAAACTGCAACTGTTTGTGCATGGTAGTGGCAGTGAATTTATGCACATAAATAAACCAATGACAGTCAAAGTTTAAGATTTTTAAAAAAATTTACATAAATGAACCGATGATAGTCCAAAGTGCAAGATTTTAAAATAAATTTACATAAATTCACCAATGATAATCCAAAGTTTAAGATTTTAAAATAAATTTACATAAATGAACCAATGATAGTCCAAAGGGTAATGTTTTAAAATAAGTTTTATGTAAAACAGAACATCACCTGCGATGGCGGTATGTCGGTTGGGTCGCTATTGGTGTTCAGGACGTCGGTGTCGCGGTCACGAGTCGGTTTGTCGGCCACGTTGCTCTGATTTACATGATTTTCAAATATTAAATCATTTTTTTTGGATGAATCGCAAATTAATTGTTGATTTAAAAGCTAAGATATTGCAGTTAATTCATTATACTCCATTAAAAACGTGCCGGAGACCAGCTCCGTACTTAGTTCAAAGACTTAAAAAGGCAAGATCAAAAGGATGCACAAATTTACAAGATAAAAATATAGATTTCCAAAAAAGTGAGTGGCCAAAAATCCTTTTGATTGATAATTTGAAGTAGAACGTGGTTCACACAAGATATATTGAGCAATTTAAATTTAATTTTCTTAATTACTTCATTCTATTGATTATACTGGTATTCCTGAAGTGCTTCAATTTAAAATGACTCCGGAACGTTTACAGGGAAAACAATACGTTTATTCGACATTTTCTTCGTTTTGTAATTATTAGGCAATTTTTAGGTGATAATTATGTATGCAGCTTCTATATATCTCAAGATACATTTTATTTTCAACCATTAACAAAACTCCTGTTATGATTTCATCAATAGGCGCTAGTACCAGGTTGCGGTGATGAACGTAGCGTACACAACATTGGTGATGACAATGGTGAACTTTACCTATAGTACCATTAGTACCTGCTGGTGGTGTAGATGGCGGTACATTAAGTTATGAGAATGGTGAACTTTAACTATAGTACCATTAGTACCTGCTGGTGGTGAAGATGGTGGTACATTAAGTTATGAGAATGGTGAACTTTAACTATAGTACCATTAGCACCTGCTGGTGGTGTAGATGGTGGTACATTAAGTTATGAGAATGGTGAACTATAACTATAGTACCAATAGAACCTGCTGATGGTGTAGATGGTGGTACTGGCGACGTCTGGAGGAGGTCGTGGTGATGGACGCTGCTATGTCCTTCAATTTGGCCTCCCTCTTACTGGCCTCCAGGTCTGCCAGTGCTGTACTGGTCTCAAGCTCGCCTGCTCGTATCACATTTACTTACGATAATTAATTTGACTCATCCATTAAACTTGGTTAACAGGACTCGACCGAAGCAACAGGACACTACTTTGATAAATATTAAAGATCGGTTAAAATTGTTTGTATCTCATAAGATTGATAGAGCTTGGTCGCTTTTAAGTAAAATTGAGTATTGAAATTTTGATGCATTTATTTCATTTCGGTGTGAAAACATAAGTTTAAAGTGATGATCAAAAACTTAGTAACCTAAATTCTACGTTTTTAATAGCAAGTTACTGAAGCAGATGGACATAAAATAGTATAAATGAGGCTTTAAAAAATGTATACTATATAAATACAAATTTGGACGAGTGTTGATTATCGTAATGACTTGCTGGATGAGTGTCAGTGATAAAAATCATTATAATTCAATTATGCAAGGTAATTTTTCGAGATCTGTAATAGGAACATGATAAAGATATTTTTAAGGTATAATAAGCCATGGGTCAAGTATGGCACCAAAGCTATATGTTGCAACAGCGACCAAAACCGAATGAATAGCACCATAAGTTGTCATATTGTTAAATCAGAATGATTTCAAAATTAAATGGTTAAGAAAAACAACTAGCAGAGGAGTCATGCGATGTCGACATGCAAAACAGCTGATATCAAGTAATGATTTCCACAATTACTCACCAGTAAGGCGAATATTCAGATAAGATTAAACAAAGACTTGTTGTCAGGTCACAATTCGTTATTATCATTTGACCGTGGATATTTTCTCATTAATAACTTCCTTTTCGGAAGATAACTTCCATGATTGGCATATGTCAATGAAATCTTCCTTATCTATACCCTCTTCCTACTTAACAGTTAGCAACTCACGTCCTTGTGACGTCAGCTAAATATAGACTATTTAACGGTACACTTTAACAGGAACTGTAGTCAGGACAAAGAACGGTTGCGGATATGTTCAGACTCAATTCCATTAGAGTTGTGAGCATTTGCCAGAAAGTGTTAACCTTTTGCTCTGATCTATATTCCCATAAACTGTAAGCCGTATATAATCTTCAAATAATACTGGATTAATCCTTACTCTATGCCTCATTAATCCTCCTGACCACTCACAGACCGCACCAACCTTAGGCCAAATGTATAAATATTAAGAGAGGGGTGTGACAGAAAACGCACCCAGTGACAGTTCAGATGCATAAGAATTTAGTACACCGTTACCATGTAAGTACGTGGATGAGGAAGTACTTCTTCCTCGAGAACTTTCGGTTTTGAAATCGAAAGCATCAGAAGATGGAGACGAGGAATGCGTTCTTTCCAGCGTAATGTCGCATCGACGGAGGTTTTCGTTTTCTGGTTTCGGTTTAGCCGACGACGGCTTGAGAGACATGGAGTCTTTAAGAATGTCGGGTACCGGCGAATATTTCACGTAGGATGAAGCAGTAGAAGGAAAAAAAGTTGTCTTTGGTTTAGAATCGAACACTTGATTGTCGTCGGTAGAAGACGAGGCGCCATCCAGCGACGGAAATGTGTTCGATGACCCAGAGTCACATCTAGGTCGATACGTAGCAAAAGAGCTCGCAGAAGCTGATTTCTTCAAAATACTCTTAAGGGGCATACAAGTTCTTGGTTGATATACAGGAGTATAAGAGCTGCCTAATACAGGACTGTCAAGAGGAGCTTTGCAAACATTTTTGAATGATTCATCGGCCAACCTTTTCGTTCCATCAGGTTCAACAGTAGCCGGGGACGACCCAAAATCACTTTGTATGGGAATCGACAAAGCTCGGCTTCTAAAGTCAACAAATGGATTTGTTCTAAGATCGGAGTTAGTAAACATGTTTGATGAATCAGAATCACGGCTTGTAGTACATGGTAAACTTCTGTATCTGTCGATGCCAGACGGCAGCCTCTTGTGCAGCTGAGATGCAACGTAGGCGCTACGCACTAGAGCTACAGATGTCATACCGTGAGTAGAACTAGTTTCTCTACCTGCAAGCAGTTCAATGAGAAACGGTTAGATGAGGGTAGTGCAGGCACAATGCAAGGGAAAATTTAGCCAGTAGAAGCACAAAATTAGCATGCAAAATCTAGCTACCGATCGGAAGAGCAAGTGTAAGATTAAGGCCTGTTTAATTAGCTTCTCTGCAAAAAACATGCTTCAGCTAAGTTATGTAACCGGAGATCAATCACAAGCATTGTTAACATGAACACTGGAATCAAGTAATGCATAAATTATTAGAAAATAGCTTCTAATTTCAAGATATTTGTCCGTGAAACCGTTATTGCCAGTAAGTTTAGTTAGAAAATAGCATCTGGTTGAAGATGGGAGGACTGCATCAATACTGACAGCTTTCTCAAGTCATGTAAATAGAAAAATTCAGAAAGAATTCCATTATTGAAACACCGAGAAGGTAGGGTAGTTTTTTTTAATTCAGGCGTAAGGTAGTTTGATTAGATTTTTTTCAGCACTAAACTTAACACTATGAAAGAGCCATGAAACTAGCACTAGACACATGCTATGAACAAAAATGATAATCAGAACAGAACAGTTTCTGCCAATATGCGTACCGAAACTTGCCAAAAGACTTAAATAAATCAATTTAAGAACTATCAATCATTAGAGGAACTGATACGAGGCCAAGCTGGAAAAATTGAAGAATATAAACTAAAACAACTAGGAATGAAATGAACGCTAGAGTGCTAGGAATGAACACTAGCAGATGAAATATAATGACTAGAGAGCGAGGAATGAACACTAGACGATGAAGAATGAAAACTAGAGGATGAGGAGTGAATACGAGAGAATGGGGGATGAAGAGAAAGGAATGAAGGTAGGCAATTGGCCGCAAGAATAAAGGCTTCCAAGAAGCTAGAACTGCTCTTTGATGTACGATATAACTTCAAAATTAATCTCATAGTGAAGCATTTTAGACAAAATTCGCACAATAAAAAGGGGACCCAAATGGTCAAGCTTGAGAAATAACATGATATATTGCATATATTGGAAACGCATGATAAGAAAAATATATCATTTGGAAAAATAAACGCTGGTTTGGTTATCAACCTCAAAACAAGGTGTCAACATCGTATTACAATTCAAATGAGGCGAACCAAACCTCGGATGAAAGACATGAAGTTGAATTGGTGGCCCAGTGGTTAAAGTTCAGAGTACCAAGATCACAGGCGCAAAAAGACGTTGGCTGCATATTACGCATTAAGTCACCGCAAGAAACACCATAAACCAATAAATCAATCCAATGAATTAATAAAAACGTATGAACTTCAATATTAAGAACGCTTTAACGTTATTTATTGTTTTCAGTATTGCCGGGCAGTTAAGTTTTCTGGGAATATATTTAGAAGTTTACTGTTTAGGATTATATAAATCCAAGCATGGTTAGGGGTTACCTATAGCAAGGAGCTGATCCTTTAGCACCGTCATGCGAAGTAGAAACAACGTTGCAGAGATGAAATGCGTAATGATAGTGACTTTTGATAAGGATGTAACCAGAATTAAAGAGTGCGATTTGGAAATATGATTTGGAAATATGACAGTTGTGGACATTAGAACTTTGATGATGATTTATCGATGAGTTCGAATTTTTACGACTCATGGCAGCATTTGAACTCTGAGTTTAAAGTTAAATGGAGCCGTTTTTCCGAGTTTTACTTGGTGTTTGGGACTAAAATATGATAGTGGGTTGGAGACCTTTCAACTTTGATGATGATTTATCCACGAGTTCGAGTTTTTGCAACTCATGGCAGCATTTGAACTATGAGTTTAAAGTTAAATTGAGACGTTTTTTCGAGTTTAACTTTGTGTTTCTGACTAAAATATGATAGTGAGTTGTAGACCTTTCAACTCTGATAATGCTTTATCGATGAGTTCGAATTTTTACGACTCATGGCAGCATTTGAACAGTGAGTTTAAAGTTAAATGGAGCCGTTTTTCCGAATTTAACTTTGTGGTTGGGAATAGAATGAGGCTTCACTCACTGCCAGGCTGGGACAACGCGCGGGCTTCTCTGTTCAAAGCGCGGCGAGTCCTGAGCCTGTGAGTCTGCTTGTCTTGTGTGGGGGGGCTCTCTGATGTGGGCGGGTTGTCGCTGTACGCTGTGCAACATATAAATACAATTTAGTAAGAAAATAAACTAATACAGTCACAATAAATGGTCGCTGTACGCTGTGCAAGATGTAATTACAATTTAGTAAGAAAATAAACTAATACAGTCACAATAAATGGTCTGGGGCCATACTTTCAAAATTCGCAAAGTGAACGTAAGTACTTACGTTCTATTTTCTTGTCTATGATTGGTGGATTTTGCTTGAAAGGCCGTCACTGATTGGCTGATGAACTTACGATCTCTTAACTTTTTGAAAGTATAGGCCCAGAAGAAGACTTCAATCCTGTGAATGAAACCAGTTCCCTAACTAACACTATATATATTGTGTTTATTGTTGAAGCGACTGTCAGCATTTGGGACACACCAACAGCCGTTAAGGGAATTGGCCTTTGAGTCATAATTTAGTTAGTTCCAAGCATCGTGTGTGTTGAGTGTGACCTTGCGCGACTTCTGTAACGTAAAATGATGAAAATTTTCTTCCCAAGTCAAACAAAGCAGGTTCTTCAGCATGCTGCAGAAATTCATATTTTTCGTGAAGACCGTTTTCATGTTACGATAAATCTTACCGAAACGAGGTTGTTCTCTTATGCCAGTGCCGTAATTATTATTTCGTTACCGTATTATTATTATATTATTTTGTTACCAAATTATTTGTTACCGTATTACTCATACATCGGTAATATGAATTTGATATATAAATGTCTGAACCTAAATATGAATGAGAGTTTTCAAGCTATCTTCATCAAATATACGCATTATTTGAACAGACTTGAATAATGAATAAAAAATTAATCCAAATTGATGGCATCTACACTCCATGAACACACTTCAATTCCATGTTCGGAAATCCGAAGTAAGACGAGGCAAAAATCCCATACAAATTATGAACATTGACCTCAACAATGCTTGAAAGGTCCAGAATAATTACATACTACAAACAGAAACTTAAGCTCGGGAACCATAAATAAATTGCTCAATAGAAACAGAATGCTGCCTCTGTATGTTCAAAAGAATTGCTTCATAAAAGCAATCCTTTAAGAAGCAAAAAAAAGTCGTGAATCCAAACAAGTGAATATTGCTTATAGATAAACATAAGTCAGGAATATTTACCAGGAACATAAGGAGGAGTGTTCTCCTTATGATCGTTATTTACCAGGAACATAAGGAGGTGTGTTCTCCTTATGATCGTTATTTACCAGGAACATAAGGAGTGTTCTCCTTATGATCGTTATTTACCAGGAACATAAGGAGGTGTGTTCTCCTTATGATCGTCAGGAACAAGTCTCGGGGGAGTCGATGGAAGGATCGTAGGCGAGATAGGGGCTGTGGAAGTGGTCATCCCCACTCGAGGGGAAGGCGTTTGCGATGGCGTTGGAATGGGGTTAGATCTTGAATGATGAAGGCTGTTGAAAGGTGTTACAGTCGAGCTAACGATCGACGATATGTTATTTCCAAGTCCATTGCCTGCGGAATCATTGCCAATAGTATGTGAAGTCGGTGACCCTGGAAGCCTGGATGAATAGTAGGAGTTGATCTGGTTTTTCTTTTCAATGTCGTCGTCATTATCAATATTTTTCGTAGATGACAGACCATCATCATCCTCGTTGCTGTTGTCGCTGCCATTGCTACTCTCGGTAACGCTGTCGTACTGCCGCCCTGCAATTAAGACGGACGAACGGTAAGGCTAGATCGAAGAGAACGGACTAATATTGAGATCAAATTATTTCTCCAACATGTTTTTCCAATAGAAACACACTCGGAAAATTTCTGAAAAATTATTAAATTGATGCAAATTAAAGAAAAACTATTATAGTACACTAATCTGACAAACAAAAGGCCCATTAAAAATCTCATAAAGATATGTCCATATTACAAATCGAAAGAAAATGAGAAATTGCGTAATAAATGATAATAATTTGCTAATCTAAAGGGTAGAATAGGAGCTGGACATTACCCGAGGAGTTTCTGTTGCCGCTGAACTGCTGTTGATGTGTAAACAGAGACTGTTGAGTGTCCAGGGATGGGGCGGAACAAGGCCTTCTGTTGCCGCGCAGGTCTGAGCTGATGCTGTGGAACCGCACGCGCTGGCTCACTGGAGACTCCAGCGTGCTGGGCACTGCACACAATATTCCATTTTAATTTCGATTGTAGTTACAATACATGTTCTAATAAAGATTTTTAAAAAATAATATAAAAAATCTGAAAATAATATAAGAAAAATAACTCACTACTCACTCACTAAGTGAGTGACAGAGAGCGCATTTTCTCATCGACGAAAACGTGAGGTCACGGACGGACAGACAGACGGACATAGCGAGCACAATAGTGAATTTTTTCCATAAATGAGAAAATGCGCTAAAAAGACCTTAGCATCATTCTACGAATAAAAAGAATCAAGTGTGCATGATAAATATTAAAGATGACTTGCCTCTCCCTGCAGCTCCTGACCGAGCGGCAGGATGCGCGGCGGCAGACGAGGCTGGGGCGCTGCTGCCTTTGATGCCGGGGAACGTGGCGTTGCGCTTATGGCGTCCGTGCTATAATTAATGCATACATCAATAAGTTCAATGCATGAGAAATAAGTTTTTACGAGAGTAAAATAGTTGTTCCCAAATAGTTTCTGTCAAATAGTTGTTCCAAATAGTTGTTCCCAAATAGTTTCTGTCATTCCCAAAATTTAATTTCAAGTGCTGTAAAACCTTCACCAGCTTGATAATGAAAATTGTATTTTCGAAACGTCGCAATCTATTAAAATGTCATTCGGAAACCTGCTTTTCGATCTCCCGGCTCCAGCTAGAAATTTGGTTCGACTCATTGAAAAGACGAACAAGAAGATTGTTAATAAAAAGCATGCTCTGGTCTTCAATCAAACTTGTATGTATATATGTATATATTTTTAATTCAATGTGAAGGTTTTCTTCGAGCCATCGGGGTAACCACTTTTCCTCAATAAATAAATAAAAATCAGCTCTAAAACTTGACGTACCTTGTGCATGCGAGGAAAGACGGAGAGTACGTCCTGCCACCACCGGCTCTCCTCCCGTGACGTGCCCTTAACGAACGTGACACGATCAGGTGATGTGATCGCCAGCGAGAACTGGTTGCCCGTGACATCCTCGGCACCTGACACCTCCAGCACGCGGTTCATGTCGATCACTCCTTGCGGGATGGTCGCAGGCTGTGCAAAAACACTCGTATTAATTGAGGCAATATAATAAAATATAACACAGTACACACTGCAGTAAGTGACAGAGAGCGCATTTTCTCGTCGACGAAAACGTGAAGTCACGGACGGACAGACAGACAGACGGACATGGCGAGCACAATAGTGCATTTTTTTCCATAAATGAGGAAATGCGCTAAAAATATTTATGAAATAGTGATATTAATTAAGGTAATTAAGTTGAGTTTAAGTTCGCTTCGTCTTCAACAACCTTTGACATTGGTTAAAGTTTCTGATTTAAAAAAAAATTAGCTTGTGTACATGAGACAATTATCGAAGCACTGATTTTCAACAGAGTCGATGCGCAACCGAGGCTGCGAAAAAGATTGTACAATAAATTTCAGCTGGGAAAAAATAATCCCTAAGAATTCGTTGAATGCAATTAACTCGCCTGTGAAATAAAAACACGAACAGTGTCTAGAAAGAATGTAAAAAAGAGAACTTAATTTCATTGTACGAATGACATTCCAGGCTTCAGAGTTACACGTTATAGAAGTCAGTAAAACCTCACGATATTGCATGATGAGCATTAAAACAAAAATGTCGCAACTTTGTGCCAAATCACGACGCTGGCAGTAATGACGCGTTACAACAAACATATCCCGACTATATAACGCAAGGAATTAAAGTAAATAGGAACTAAAAAATCAGGTTTGCCTGGATGACTCGTGTAATTTTCATGGGTCAGAACCCTCGAGGCGAGGCGTACGTTCTGCGATTAATTGTTAACCCGGCATCAGGGGCCTCGGAATAACGAGTTCCTAATACCCATTTTACTCAACTCTGGCCGACTTCAATTCCAAATTCTCATCTAGTTATACCGCAAGCCAATATTTTTGATGTGGGAATCCTCAGAGACGCCTTGTTCGCACTGGTTAAAAACCTGATAAAAAAATTGCCCTGACGGACGCATTCCTTTCTTAATGTTCGCACTACTCGATTCTCGGTACATTTTGACAGACGTAATTTAAGAGAAGACTGTACGAAAAGACAAAAAAGGTATTTAAAAAGACTGGACGAAAAGATAAAAAGTGTGGTTGGAGTGGAGCAGAAGGTAAGAAGAATTCTATGCGACGGGAAGAGCGTCTAATTTCGTTTGGTTATTAGCGCACCATTTGCGGTGACGGGAGCAATGGTCCTGCAGAAACTTTCTCTTGGATACGCTGAGCCACTCAGTCACTAAAGCAAACCGCGACAGTCATTAAGCCGTCTTTAAAGTGACAGCTAATACCTTCAAATGGATCCTTTCACCATCGCATCAAAAGACATCCATAATTCCAAGTACTTTTTTCGCTATACATTGGCATTTTGTCCGATGTTCGTCAACAGATACACCGGTACCATTTTCAATGCGATGTGCAAGACCAACACAATAACAGACACAGAAACTAACAGATAACTACATGCATGCATTGCATGTAATAGAATTGCAGCAAAAGCATCAAATACTCTGAAACGCAGGAAATGTTAACAATGTGTCGCTGGATAACACTCAGCGTGAATGAAGTAGAAAGAATTTTGAAGAAATTAAAGCTAGAAGTTTGAAGAGTCAGTACGAAATTCAGTAGATGCCTGCCAGTTGGACGTCACTAACGGATCACTACCATTACTGCGTTGCGGTTCCCATCTCATATATAGTAATGATAATTAAGGTTTCATCGATAATCCCACTCACATAGACCGCTCAAGGTTAAAACTTAACCTGGATATCGCACTCGATCATCTGTTGATTTAAGCCGTTAAAAGTTTTCATCTTTTAAAATTTTTTCTTCCGATGCATATTTCCTATTTCTGATTTTCTCATTGGAGCTTCATATGATAGTGTTGCTATAGTACTGCCGCAGAGTTATTAGTGCAATCTCATGAACACTTTAATAAAGAGCTACAATTTTGCGCGATAACGCATTTACAGTAAGCTCCTACATCCTAAAAATTATTATAAATAATTTTGAGGCGTCTAATGGTGAGGTTTTCCGACAATGAATTAATTTTGAACAAAGAGCACTAGAAATTAAGAAATAAAATATTTTTCTAAAAGTGAAATAGATTCAAATTTTCTTCGATCGAAAAAAGAAGCCTCTGTAAGAAACTTCTTACTAGCCTTTACAGATTAGCGATCTTAATGTTATTCGAACTGTAAAACACGTACTTATATCCAACCATCATCATCAATTGATAGGACAGTAAAATACGAGCCCATCTAATCAGGCAAATAAATTGGTCGCCCATAGAATAAAAGTCCAGATTAAAACAAAAAAAAAAAAAAACTTCAATACAGAGCACAAGTTGATCTATAATTTTCCAATTGAATTGTGACTGGAAGCGATCGTTCATAGCTGATGAACTCAAAATATTTAATATAAATAATTAAACCGAAACTGAAATATGAAAATATGATAATACCTGTCGGTCGTCTCAAAAATTGTACGACAATGTCCGGTTAAAATTCGAAATTAGTGAAGCTTGGCGCTGGGTACATGAGAGCTCGAGCTGACCAGTAACCTATAAATGCGCGGATAGCCACGCATAAAAGTTCAAATATAATCTCATTCCCATCAGTCAAACGTAATCACTAGACGTTATTCTCAATTTGGCCAATAATTTCAAAATTGAACAATGAAATTTCGCTTCAATGAAAACATCGCAGCAATCTGCCACAGATTTCGACAATGGCCACTGACTTAAAATTCCAGTCAGGAAGTGCAGAGAAAATTACGAAAGGCTAATTGTCTAAAGACACCTAGGCAAGCCTCCTCAGATAAAAGGTTAGAGACCGCGGAGACGGGCGTGTAATATTTCGGGCCTAATCGCCCGACACGAGGAACAGAGCTGCGAACTGGAAGCTGAAGCTGCCCGATTCTAAAACGTTGTGCCTAATAAGTGGTAAATAAAGGAAAAAAATGTAAAAAAAAATCTATTATTGTTTATGAGAACGTTTCAAACTCCGGGATCCATCGCCAGATATGAGATTAACAGCCAGTGATTGGCAATTGATGATGCAACTTGAGATCCAGGCAGCAATAAATAATGTTGTACTTCAGCGGAACGAACTCGGAACGAATGAGGCATTGGTCGTACCAACAAGCTTATTAATTGGACTCGAAGATTCCCTTATGCGCAACTAATTGAGAATTGCCATGTGATTTGAGATAGAAAAAAATCTGACGTATTGCATGATAAATTCCAAGGATGTAATGAAATTACAAGATCTTCGACGGTTCATGGGTTGATTTGGAATTTTAGTGCACAGTAGCTATTGTCTGAGACTGCCTATGATAGATGGTTCAACCGATATGGTAAAGTGCCGGGAATAGTTTCTTTGCGTCACTGCAGACTTTTATTACTTCAATAAAATGATGAAAATCGGGCCAATAAGCAACGTTGGAGTGAAAAGTTCGAAACTTGCGCCAGTGTTTTTCATCGGGAGAATTAAAGAAAGAATCAAAGCGGCGTCTAAGGACGTGATTATGCAGGTTTTATTAAGATGTGCAAACAATTTCGTTACAATTATAGCGAACGAATTTTGAACAGAGGAAATAAACCTTCTCCTTTTATTGAAAAACACACAGGGAAGACATGGACAAAAATAAACAAATTGTTTATTTTAGCTTTAAATTTTGCCACACACATTGCATCCCTTGTAGTAAATATTTTCGTGGAAGAACTGTGCACGACAACGAAGTGAATTCCAAAAGATATTCTATCGAGGACGAAGCGATGTCTACAGGAATTTTCAACGGCGATCAAGCGGAATGAAATAAGTAAGAGATTTAGTCCTATTCGCTACTGATGCAGTGAGTGTTCGAGCACCGGAAAGATGCATCAAGAGATACGTAGATGACAAGACACCGGCCGGGATGCCTCAAGCTGTTCTAAAGTGGAGGACCTTAGCCTAACAGCGCCTCTTGGAAATTAATAGATGACGCTACGATAGGACAGCGCCCGCTGAGAAAATTGAAGGCAAACTAAAATATTAGCCTTTCTAACGAGATATTCTTAGAAAGAGTAAGGGAGTTACTATGACGATTTAATAAAAAATGCAGACAGCTAAAAATGTGCAGATTCGGATACAAAGCAATTTATTATGTTTTTTAGTAATCAATTCGCAAAACATGAAATTCACGGTATAAACCCAAAAAGAATTAACTTCCACTACCAGACGCTTTTGAAACTTACAAGAACAACAGGCAGTTGAATTGTACTGGAAACACTTAAATGATCAGCGTTATGCTATACTGAATGCATACATCTAGTATAAATAAATACAGTTAGTTATGGCGGTCGTTTAATAGACATCGTGACCGAGCAACGGTCCAGAGAGGCCCAAGAATCGTGTGAAGCAGAAGCCTGCGATATCGATCACAATTTCAGTAAAGACAAGAAGCCAGCAACACACGAGATAGAAAGCAAGATAGAGAACTGCATTCGCAACTGATCTGCGAACACCTTACAAGAACGCAATCGCGACCGCTGTAATTATCAAGATCATGCCTCGATAAAAAGAATCCTGAAATTGCCGATGGCGATGCTCATGGCGGCAGGCAGACATGCCAAGAATAAAAGATGGGAGTAAATATGTTCGTCGAGCCGAGAGAGAGACACGGATCGTTGCATCGAAGTTCACATCAGCGAGCGGCTTGAGGCTGCTGCGGTGCACGTCTTGAGCAGCTGTTCATGAGCATAACGTCGCATAAATAGTTCAGAGCCAAATTGAAAACGGTAAGCGATGCGACATTGACTTTAATCGAACCTGAAAGCTATATTATTGAATCGTAAAGCCCTGTCCAGCGGGCAGTCTTGAAATGCAAGTTCTTTAATTATGAGTGGCAGACCGTTACCAGGAAGCGGCAATATAAAACAGACAACGACGCAGATAAAAGAAATTCAATTGAAAATTCAGCGAACCTCACAGTAACGTAAATCGATACAAAATAAGTAGCGCTTCTCTTACGAGC